TTTATTAATTACTAAGAAGGAATAGAAAAAAGATCTCTGCAATGGGTTATTTGTGTCTTCAGGAAGGCAAAAGATTAAAAGACTACATCTAGGGAAAAAATTCTCTCTTTTGGTTATTATCTTTTATTAATTACTAAGAAGGAATAGAAAAGATCCTTGCAAATGGGTTATTTAATGTCTTCAGGAAGGCAAAAGATTAAAAGACTACATCTAGGAAAATCTCTCTTTTGGTTATTATCTTTATTAATTACTAAGAAGGGAATAGAAAAGATCCTTGCAAATGTGTTATTTAATGTCTTCAGGAAGGCAAAGATTAAAAGACTACATCTAGGAAAATCTCTCTTTGGTTATTATCTTTATTAATTACTAAAGAAGGAATAGAAAGATCCTTGCAAATGTGTTATTTAATGTCTTCAGGAAGGCAAAGATTAAAAGACTACATCTAGGAAAATCTTTGGTTATTATCTTTATTAATTTGGAATTCCTTGCAAATCTTTATTTAATTACTAGGAAGGCAAAGAATAGAAGGAAAATCCTTATTTATTATCTTTATTAATGAATGTTAAATGTGTTTTAATGTCTTCAGGAAGGCAAAGATTAAAAGACTACATCTAGGAAAATCTCTCTTTTGGTTATTATCTTTATTAATTACTAAGAAGGAATAGAAAAGATCCTTGCAAATGTGTTATTTAATGTCTTCAGGAAGGCAAAGATTAAAAGACTGCATCTAGGAAAATCTAAGAAGGAATAGAAAAGATCTTTTGGTTTATTATCTTTATTAATTACTAAGGAAAATCTTGCTTTGGAATAGAAAAGATCCTTGCAAATGTGTTATTTAATCAGGAAGGCAAAAGATTAAAAGACTGCATCTAGGAAAATCTCTCTTTTGGTTATTATCTTTATTAATTACTAAAAGGGAAGAACAGATCCTTGCAAATGTGTTATTTAATCTTCAGGAAGGCAAAAGATTAAAAGACTACATCTAGGAAAATCTCTTTGGTTATTATCTTTATTAATTACTAAGAAGGAATAGAAAAGATCCTTGCAAATGTGTTATTTAATGTCTTCAGGAAGGAATAGAAAAGATTAAAAAAAGACTGCATCTAGGAAAATCTCTCTTTTGGTTATTATCTTTATTAATTACTAAGAAGGGAATAGAAAAGATCCTTGCAAATGTGTTATTTAATGTCTTCAGGAAGGCAAAGATTAAAAAGACTGCATCTAGGAAAATCTCTTTTGGTTATTATCTTTATTAATTACTAAGAAGGAATAGAACAGATCCTTGCAAATGTTATTTAATGTCTTCAGGAAGGCAAAGATTAAAAGACTGCATCTAGGAAAATCTCTCTTTGGTTATTATCTTTATTAATTACTAAGAAGGAATAGAAAAGATCCTTGCAAATGTGTTATTTAATGTCTTCAGGAAGGCAAAATAAAAAAGACTGCATCTAGGAAAATCTCTCTTTTGGTTATTATCTTTATTAATTACTAAGAGGGAATGAAAAGATCCTTGCAAATGTGTTATTTAATGTCTTTAGGAAGGCAAAGATTAAAAGACTGCATCTAGGGATTAAAAAATCATCTCTTTTGGTTATTATCTTTATTAATTACTAAAAGGGAATAGAAAGACTTAAATGTGTTATTTAATGTCTTCAGGAAGGCAAAAATTAAAAAGACTACATCTAGGAAAATCTCTTTTGGTTATTATCTTTTTATTAATTACTAAGAAGGGAATAAAAGATCACAAAAGATCCTTGGCAAATGTGTTGTTATTTAATGTCTTCAGGAAGGCAAAGATTAAAAGACTGCATCTATGAAAATCTCTGCTTTGGTTATTATCTTTATTAATTACTAAGAAGGGAATAGAAAAGATCCTTGCAAATGTGTTATTTAATGTCTTCAGGAAGGCAAAGATTAAAAGACTGCATCTAGGAAAATCTCTCTTTTGGTTATTATCTTTATTAATTACTAAGAAGGGAATAGAAAAGATCCTTGCAAATGTGTTATTTAATGTCTTCAGGAAGGCAAAGATTAAAAGACTGCATCTAGGAAAATCTCTGCTTTGGTTATTATCTTTATTAATTACTAAGAAGGGAATAGAAAAGATCCTTGCAAATGTGTTATTTAATGTCTTCAGGAAGGCAAAGATTAAAAAGACTGCATCTAGGAAAATCTCTCTTTGGTTATTATCTTTATTAATTACTAAGAAGGGAATAGAAAAGATCCTTGCAAATGTGTTATTTAATGTCTTCAGGAAGGCAAAGATTAAAAGACTGCATCTAGGAAAATCTCTCTTTTGGTTATTATCTTTATTAATTACTAAGAAGGGAATAGAAAAGATCCTTGCAAATGTGTTATTTAATGTCTTCAGGAAGCAAAGATTAAAAGACTGCATCTAGGAAAAATTATCTTTATTAATTACTAAGAAGGAAAATCCTTTGCAAATTTTATTTAATGTCTTATCAAAAGATTAAAAGACTGCATCTAGGAAAATTTTTGGTTATTATCTTTATTAATTACTAAGAAGGAAAAGATCCTTGCAAATGTGTTATTTAATGTCTTCAGGAAGGCAAAGATTAAAAGACTGCATCTAGGAAAATCTCTTTTGGTTATTATCTTTATTAATTACTAAGAAGGAATAGAAAAGATCCTTGCAAATGTGTTATTTAATGTCTTCAGGAAGGCAAAGATTAAAAGACTGCATCTAGGAAAATCTCTTTTGGTTATTATCTTTATTAATTACTAAGAAGGAATAGAAAAGATCCTTGCAAATGTGTTATTTAATGTCTTCAGGAAGGCAAAGATTAAAAAAAGACTGCATCTAGGAAAATCTCTCTTTTTGGTTATTATCTTTATTAATTACTAAGAAGGGAATAGAAAAGATCCTTGCAAATGTGTTATTTAATGTCTTCAGGAAGGCAAAAGATTAAAAAAAGACTGCATCTAGGAAAATCTTTTCTTTGTTATTATCTTTATTAATTACTAAGAAGGAATAGAAAAGATCCTTGCAAATGTGTTATTTAATGTCTTCAGGAAGGCAAAGATTAAAAGACTGCATCTAGGAAAATCTTTCTTTTGGTTATTATCTTTATTAATTACTAAGAAGGGGAATAGAAAAGATCCTTCAGGAAGGTAAAGATTAAAATACATTAGAAAAATCTCTCCTTTTTATTTAATGTCTTCAGGAAGAAAAAGATTGCAAATGGGTTAAATGTCTTCAGGAAGGCAAACATTAAAAGATGCATCTATAGGAAAGGAAAATCTTTCTTTATTAATTACTAAGAAGGGAATAAAAAGATCCTTGCAAATGTGTTATTTAATTCTTTAGGAAGCAAAGGACATCTAGAAAATCTCTCTGGTTATTATCTTTATTAATTACTAAGAAGGGGAAAGAAAAGATCCTTGCAAATGTGTTATTTAATGTCTTCAGGAAGGCAAAGATTAAAAGACTGCATCTAGGAAAATCTTTCTTTGGTTATTATCTTTATTAATTACTAAGAAGGGAATAGAAAAGATCCTTGCAAATGTGTTATTTAATGTCTTCAGGAAGGCAAAGATTAAAAGACTGCATCTAGGAAAATCTTCTCTTTGGTTATTATCTTTATTAATTACTAAGAAGGGAATAGAAAAGATCCTTGCAAATGTGTTATTTAATGTCTTCAGGAAGATTAAAAACTACATTAAAAGACTCTTTTTGGTTATTATCTTTATTAATTCTAAGAAGGGGGAATAGAAAAATCCTCTGTTTCAGGAAGGCGTTGCATTATCTTTATTAATTACTAAGAAGGGAATAGAAAAGATCCTTGCAAATGGGTTATTTAATGTCTTCAGGAAGGCAAAGATTAAAAGACTACATCTAGGAAAATCTTTCTTTTGGTTATTATCTTTATTAATTACTAAGAAGGAATAGAAAAGATCCTTGCAAATGTGTTATTTAATGTCTTCAGGAAGGCAAAAGATTAAAAGACTAAACATCTAGGAAAATCTTTCTTTTGGTTATTATCTTTATTAATTACTAAGAAGGGAATAGAAAAGATCCTTGCAAATGTGTTATTTAATGTCTTCAGGAAGGCAAAGATTAAAAGACTACATCTAGGAAAATCTCTCTTTTGGTTATTATCTTTATTAATTACTAAGAAGGGAATAGAAAAGATCCTTGCAAATGTGTTATTTAATGTCTTGAGGAAGGCAAAGATTAAAAGACTACATCAAGGAAAATCTATCATCTTTATTAAAGGTTATTAATGTTTTCAGTGTATTTTATAACGTTTCATAAAATATGATAATTAAAAATCCAACATATACTGAAGTCTTCCTTTTCTTAGTTAATTAATTAACAAAAGTCGACTCAACCAAAACCTTTTAACGAATAGACAGGTAATCATTGCAACAGAAATGAAAGAAAAGGTAACAATATCCAATTATATCTTTGTTTTTCTACTAAACTAAATTCCTTTCAAAGAACACAATTGTAAATGACACCCCCACTATTTCCTTTCTGGAGGGTTCTGTGGATCTTGTATTTTGAAACATTCTTAGAGATTTACCAGAAACAACTTGCTGAGCAACTTCTGCTTTCTAGAAGGTTCTAGAGGTCTTATATTTTTTAACATTCTCAGAGTCTTACCAGAAACATGCTGTCAAATGAACAATTAATCTTGTCTGCATGAAGAAAAAAAAAAACAACAGCTAACCTTATTCTATTCCTTTTTGCATCAACTACAGGGCTTAGCTAAGTTTGGCACAAGGTCAAATTGCTGAGAAATAAAGTACGAAAACTGTGTTGCATTAATTTTCAAAATTGATATTACCTACTTGTCTCTAAATTTAAAGTCAAATAAAACCAAAAAAAATTTTTGAAACAAATTTCTTTCCTGGATCAGTATTAAGAAAAATCTAACTCCCTCAATCAGCAAGTCTGTGGGGAAAAAGTTGAAAAGAAAAAAAAAAAGTGATACCAAATAAATAAAACCATAATAATTTCACTGGGGATTACTTACATTTCTTGTCACTGTCCAATCGTCAAAAAGCCCTTCTTCAGATTCCTTTTGATAGAAAACACTGAGTACAGCCTTGAGTACTTCCCTAATTACCGGGGGCGGGGCAGTGTAGCTGCGAAGTTCTGCAAAGGCCTGCATGTCCAACTTGGAAACGTTGTCCCTCAGGTCCAGAAGCAGAAGACGGTCAAACATCACCTCAACTCTTAAGTTATCAGTCAACTGTTCAGCCGCTGCAAGACATGAAAAAAATTTATCTTTACCTTTTGTAAATGAACCCCATAACTGTTTTACTTGTCTCCTTCAAAAGAAAAAGAAAAAATAAATGAAAATGTGTATTGTGAAGAACAACATGTAAAACTTGAATTTTATCCTTATCAGTCAGCCATTATTCATTTTCGACAAGGATTTCTTTCATCTTAATTTTACTTGCTTTTTATTCCATTAGTAGTATTATTAGTAATATTATCTTGACTTTTATTCTTATTAGATGAAGCATTGTCAGCAATTATTCATTTTTGACTAGGATTTCTTTCATCTTAATTTCATTTGTGTTTTATTCCATTATTAGTATCAATAAATCAAATAGGAATAAAAGTCAAGAAAAAAATGTTAAACTATGATGAAAGAAATCCTAGTTAAGGATTAATTTATACAACTCATTTCTTAACCTACAATGTCATGCAGTCTACCTTTATGATAATAGAGAAAATGCATTACAAATAATTTGTAATGCATTTTCATAGTAAAAATCATTTGCAGTGGATTTTTGTAGTAAAATCACTCGCAATACATTTGCATAGTAAAAATCACTCGCAATATATTTTCATAGTAAAAATCATTCGCAATGGTTTTTCATAGTAAAAATCATTCGCAATACATTTTCATAGCAAAGATGGTTTTAGGTTAGATTGTTTGATTTTGTCATTTCTGCACTTGTTGGGTCATTAAATATCAAAGTTTGTATTTGGCACCCAGTGAGGCCCAAACTCACTACTTAGACTTAGTAGTAAAGTTCAACAAGTCTAGCCAGATTAATGATTACCCCATGTTAAGGCACCTTTATCATATTATGGAAAAGTTCTCGGACTTACCAAGGACCATTTTGCAGGATTCACCTTCCTTCAGTTCATTTGTGATTTCACGGTGTGCAACTTGCAAGAGACGAAGCATCCGCAAAAGTTCTCTGTTCTCGTAGTTTGGCAACTGCTTTAGAGTTGAGCCAATACTTATGTCCACCACAAAACTGACCATACCTTCCTTGTCCCGCAAAGGGAAGGCCAAACGGTGTTGCCCGTACGCATCGGCACTAACCGTCTCTGAGTTGTCCACACACCGGAAGAGGTAATCTCTGGAGAATTCAAAAACATGGTAGGTGAGAAATGACTTGCATGGAACTTTTGTCACAAATACTTTCACTTGGAAATACTATTGAACAGTCAAAAGAAAGGTTTGTTTGATTTAGCAAAAATAAAAAGGCAATTTATTTATTCTCAATATTAGCTTCACTGAACATATTTGACATTTTGTTTCACTGTCTACTGCCATCTTTCAGATAACTTCATTATTCTATCCTCTCACAACATTTTCTCTTTATCAGCAAAGAATTATTCTGAGTGCCTTTTGCAGTCTTACAGCAAAGTGAATTTTGAATCAGTCTTTGGAAAATATGGAGAAAGGAAGTTAAGTGAAGGAATACAACAAATCCTGGTTTCAGTTTATATTGAAACCGTTAGACATACAGTGATGGTCATTTGTCGCATTTAAACTTTGGCATCCCATCTGGTGTTCTTAGACATTCTCATTCAGATTTGTACTGCATTCATTTTTATTATCATTATTGTTTTTAATTGCCTTAATTCCCCATGTATAATATGCCTTCATCCATAATACACACCCCTAAAATTGTGCTGAAATTATGGGAAAATGCATAATACACACCTCTTGTTTGGTAATCAAACCATTTAAATTGTATCTCTCCAATTTCATTACAGCCAGCATTTCCTAGTCTTATTAAAAAAAAAATGGTTTTTAAACATTCTAATATTATTCTAATTTAATTTTATGATAATTCTTATTTTATTTTACATTTGCAAGTATTGTTAGGTACATATGATTGTATGTGACATCCTTACGGGGTCGCAATCACCAAATGTGTCAAATTGTCATATGTTTGTGGTGAGTAGTCATTTTGCAACTGAAACCAACCTATGGAACGACAATTTTTTTAAAGATTTTTTTTGTATCTGTGCATAATACACCCCCTAATTTTGCTTATTATTTTTTCTAAAAAAATGCATATTATTCATGGTGAATTACGGTATTCATTCAATCACCTAATTTTATATACACACACACACACACACACACACTGCATCAGGAAGGTCTTAATTCCACCAATGTTGCATTTTGCAAGTAGATCAACATTGGACACCCTATCAGCAAAAGTATCAGCAGTTCAAAGCTAAAGCACTTTATATTTTAGGGTTTTTACTGCTTTTTTAGTGCTTTTACTACTTTTTTTTTTTTGTGTGTATATATATATATATATATATATATATATATATATATATATAATATATATAAAGGAAATATACAAAAGTTATATTAATTGCACAACTCAGAGTTGCCGAAGCATTTGTCAAGTGCTGGAATTATTATTTTATTTCGGGGTGACACTGGTTTTGTGCAATTAATTTAAGGTATAATGTATATTTCTTAATATATATATATATATATATATATATATATATATATATTAGCTCTGTTATTTAACACTGAGCACTGTTTTTTCTTACACTATATGTATTCATATATGACCGCTTGCTTATATATCTACCCATTCAGTTATATATATATATATATATATATACACACACACACACACAGGGTGTGATGGGTAAATTGTCATCATCTTATATTTTTAGTTTTGTGCACATGCATTATTTATTTTTGATTCTGTCAACTACACAGCATAGTAGGGTCAGTTGGGCACCGTTTGTGAGAAAAAATCCACCATAACACAATTCCTTCCACCAGAAATTTGGAAACATCATGCTCTACTGCTTGGCATTCACACCAGAAGCTCCAATATAAACATTTCAGTAAGTATGGCTGTCAATCTGAGGAGAGTGCAGAGGATTCAGAAAGAGTTGGATGAGTCTAATGGTGATTACAAAGGTATGGCAGCTCAGAAAACTCACTCTGATCATTCTGGTAAGAAAAGAACTCTTGAATTTGCTGTTGAGGGCCTCAGACTCAACACAGATGCCTATATCAAGTGCCTTGAGGAGTTTGTGCTGCCCTGGGTCAAGAGGATGGCTGCTGGAAGATCCTATGTCTGGTAACAGAACTCTTTCCCATGCCACACAAGCAGGAGAACCTAGTCATGGCTGTCAGACAATTTCTATGACCACATCACCCCTTACATCTGGCCATGTAACTCTCCATACTGCAACCCCCCTTGATTATTATGCATGGAACGCAGTTGAGCGAGAGATCAATAAAACTCCTTGTAACAGCAAAGTTGAAGGCAAGGATTATGGCAGCATTTACCAACTTAAACAAGGAACCATCTCAAAGAGTTGCACGAGATTCCAGTCATCTGGAGGCTGTGGTTGAATAGTTTATTGAAGAAATTTACTTTTTAGTATTTTAAGATATTTTTGTGTCATTTTGATAAATATATCTGTTAAAATGAGATGTCAGTGTTATTTGCATTTTTGCCTAATTTAGACGACAATTTATACATCGCACCCTGTGTAGGTTTTGTGTATATATATATATATATATATATATATATATATATATATATATATACACACACACACAGACACAATGAAGTTGGGTAAAAGCCAAGCATGCAGCTAGAAAAGAAAATCATTAATCCATCAATTTACACCTGATGAATCTGGCAGAGTACGTCTCTCCAATACCTCATTAACAACAACAAAAATCGCATTGTAGACCTTTCACAAATTATGATCAGTACTATGCCAGAAATAACTTAAATCAAGTTGCTGGCATCATATATATATATATATATATATATATATATATATATATATATATATATATATATATATATATATATGTGAAAAGTGTATATTAAATATATATATAATTATTTATATATTATATCACATGATACTTATTAGAAAGCGCTCAATATCAGAGATAGAGCTAGCATATTTGGTTGGATAGATGGCTTGTTTGTGACCTGGGTTTCATCCTGACGACGTAAATCCTGAAACCCAGGGCGTGAAACTCACATCTATCCAACTTAAATATATATATATATATATATATATATATATATATATGATAAAAAAAATATATAATATGTTTTGTTCCAAGAAGGAACTTCTTCAGATTAATGTTTTATTGAAGGAATCAGTCTTACATAACAAAACAAACATGATCCAGTATTTGTGTTGTTATAGCCCCTTCATGCTGGGTTGTATTAACTATATTACCTAAATTAACTGTTACACTTACAATATTGAGTATACATATTATTTTATAAATAGATAATAAACTCAATTTTAAGTTTATTAATAGGTGGTATTCTTCTTCTATGTGTTGTGTCCCTTCAGGACATGAGTGATCATGGTTCTCCACAACTTCCTGTCCTTTGTAGCTCTTAGCAGTGTTTATTTTTACACTATCTCTCCTAATCCCTTTTCTGGCAACCATTTGCACAAACTTGTTAGGTCAATGTTTAACCTTGTGCTTGCAAAAAAAAAAAAAAAAAAACAGTGTGTCAAGAGGACAGTTATTCCCTTGACACCACTATTACTGCATACACTTTTTCACTCTCTTGGCAATGTTTATTCTTTTAAAAAGTGATGATTAGAGCTTTATTAAAAAAAAAACAAACAAAATCCCACTTTCTTATCTTTGGTTTTTAAAATGTTCACGCAATACAAGACCCAAGAGCCACTCAAGGTAGAGGGTTACTGTGAGGTATTTTAGTTGTTTAAGAAAGGGCAAGAAGTGAAATTCTTAAGGCTATGCAGGAAAGATAACAGCTAACTCTAACCTTGAAGAGGTCAAGGTTTATTTAGTGAATAACATTTCAGAGTTGGAACCATTAAAAATATATCGTGAAGTAGACTTTAGAAGGGACTGGAAACCAAATCCTAAATAAGAAACCAGGGATAAACCTCTGCTCCTGTTCAAAAGACAGAGGAGGAGTGTGAACTGGACAATTGGTGAACCTATTTACTCCTATTGGGAGAGAAGGAAGGAAGGGAAAAAAATAAATAATTGGGGAATAAAAATTCAGAGTTCAGGCAGAGACATTAGAAGTATAGAGTTGAACCAGGAAGGAGTGTGAACCAGATGATAGGTGGACCTACCTACTACTATTGCAAGAGGAAAATAAAAAAAAATAAATAATTAGGGAATAAAAATTCAGAGTTCAAGTGGAGATGTAAGAAGTAGAGAGTTCTAAAGTCAACTTTAGAAAGAACTGGGAACCCAATTCTGAGCAAGAAGTAGTAAATAAAATTAGGGAGTTTAGCTCCAAATATATGCATTAGGATAGAATTAGTTATGGAATTGACATTATAATTATTATCTATTAAGTTTTAACTTATACTAAGTTAAAACATCCTATATCGTTATAAAATCAAATGGAATTAGTGTTATTTGAACTTTTTTGTGTGTGAAAAAAGACAGTATACAACAAATATGGCGACATATACGTACAAATTTTGGTAAGGTTTGGTTTGTTTTGTTTTATGGCATATGAACCTCAATGGGTTATTTAATGCCGACAAAATTTTTACAATAGATTCATATGAATAGAATATAGAATATGTATTCTTTGTAAAAAATCAGTTCATTTTTGTAAACATGGTTTTTGTTGAGAGACAAATGTATTGCTGGTATTTTTCACTATAAAAACCTATTTTTCTTTTCATCACATTTTGACTGCAGTTTCAGGGTTAACTATTTTCCCATAGCTTTAACCCTAACAGTTGCTACCAGCCCAGTTCAGGGTGGACCTGGGAACACCAGTAATTAAGAGGGGGTTCTATGCTCCTCAAAACCTCCTGATCGGAGGTCTTGCTGGTGGATGTAGTTTATCGTCATACCCAGGATTAAATTTTGGTCAGACTGTTTAGGCTTGCAAAAGGTGATTACAAGCCAAAATATAGATTTACCCATTTATAAATAAATACACTTAAATAAAATCAAGTGTGGAATACACAAAATAAGGAAACAATACAAGAAAACTTCTCCGTCCTCTCCTCTACTAAATTTCATCCACATTATCCGATCATTTAACCAAAGAGATGATTTGTCTAAATTCTTCTTTATTGGCCATGTCCCCTCAGAATGTAGGCAATCATAGCTCTCCACAACTTTCTGTCCCTTGTAGCTTTTAATAAATTTTGTCTCTCTGTTTTTTTCCATAAATCCTGTTGTGGCATCCATTTACTCAAGCTTACTAAGTATGTTATGCAATGTTTTCATGTCTCTCTTGACTTCAATCTGTCCTGTGAGTATCAGATTCTCCAAGCCCTCTTTCCTCATTATGTGTGCTAGAAATTTCATCTGTCTCTTCCTGATGTTAAGTAGAAGTTTCCCTTTTGTTTCCATTTTCTCTAGAACTTTGTTGTTGCTTACATATTCAGTTCATGGTATCCTCAGCATCCTTCTGTAGAACCATATTTCTGTTGCTTCAAGTCTCTTCTTCATCTTTAAGGAGATTGTCCAGCATTCACTGTCATATAGGAGGATGCATATCACATGATGGTTTAGAACACTTTTCCTTGTTTCTAACAAAATTTTTCTATTTCTAATTACTCTGCTTAGCTTTTGGAAAGCATCTTTGGATATCCCAATGTGCCTTCAGATTTCACTTGTCCAAATTACACTTCCCTAAACCCTTACATGTTTTTCCTCATCCTTCTTCAATTAATCTCTACCCTTAAAACAAATGCTAAGTAAGTAAATCAATTTTTTTTTGTGTGAATCTACAAGAAATATGGCAACATATACATACAAACAAATAAGCTCAAAATTTGGCCAGATTGTTTATGCTAGCAAAAGATGACGACAAGCTAATGTATACATTTACCGATTCAAAAATGAATAGACTTGAACAAATAAAATCAAGTACGGAATAAAAAAAAAATGAAAAAATAATATACAAAAACTCCTCTGTTCTTATCTGTGTTTGATTTTGTCCACCTCAACCAAACATTTGGCCAAAAGGAATCCATGAATCCTTGGTGCTTTTTCCAAATTATACTCTCTTATTCCTTACATTTTTTTTTCCTTCTACCAATCCCCAGCCCTTAAATAACTGCTAAGTAGGCAAATCATTTTTTTTATTTACTAACAAAAGGTTCATTAATTAATGAAATTAAAAATCTCGATAAGGTTCATTAATATTCTGATGTTCTCTCCCTCATGTGCTCATTTTATCAAGTAGATGAAGCTCAGAAATTTGCATAAGCCACAAATTTGTCTTGCAAAATCTACATGCTCCGAGATCAAGTTGTTCTTAAATTGCAGCTTTTTCATCGGCCATATTTTCTTCTATGTATTTTGAGCATGTTTCGTTCCAGGAGGTGATTTTAAAAATATAATCTATATATAAAATTCTGTGACTTCTGTTAGTCTGTCTCTCACACCCTCTAAAATAGCCAGATATTGACTGACCAAAATTGTCATATTTTCTTCTATGTATTTTGAGCATGTTTCAATGGTTCCAATAAAGGAGGTGATTTTTAAAATATAAACTATATATAAAATTTCATAATTAGTGAATAAAATTTCCAGGTGCAGACATTAGTGCATAGATGTAGGTTAGTCCCTAAGTAGACTCTCATATCCCTCTAAAATAGCTAAGTAAGCAAATTTTGTGTGAATCTACAAGAAATATGACCAAACATACAAACATAAGTTCAAAATTCAGCCAGATTTTTTTACATGTATTTACAAGCTAAAGTATGTTTCGATTTCAAAAATGAACTTAAATAAAATCAATTTCAAAAAAATAATAATAATATATAAAATTCTGTGACCTGTAATTTAATTCATATTGTTTGACCATTTCACACCCTTTTTAATAAAAAAATAATCCAGATATTTTGACTGACCAAAATTGTCTTGTTTATGCCATCAAAATTTTCAGAGTGTTAAATATTTCTATCCTAGAAATTTATTTATACATAAATCAAGATCGAATTAACAGGCATGTTTCGTTCTAAGACACAACGGGTTTACAGGAAAGAAAAAAAAAAAGAGAAAAAAAAACAAGCATTAAAAATATAATCTATATATAAACTTATTCTGTGACTTCTGTTAGTCTGTCAATTCTCATACCTCAAAGTCTCTATGTAGTCCTAACTAGTTCTAAAATAGGGAGGGATAATATAACAAGAGGAAAAATATTGATTTCTAGAAAAGGCCAAAAATTTTATTAAGCAATTCTCAATATATAGCAGGAGCACTAGACCAGATGTGGTAGCAATATTCAAAACAAGGATGAATGGTAGACTTATAAATATGTAAGATAGATTCTTCTTTGGATTTTATTAAGAATCTCTAAATATATAGCAGGAGCCCTAGACCAGATGTGGTAGCAATATTCAAAACAAGGATGAATGGTAGACTTATAAATACGTAAGATAATGCAATGTAGTAATTCTAGCTGGAGTTTAGCTTACCTGAAGAGGCTGTCCTTACGTTTTAGGCAGGATGGTTTCGCAAATCTGATAGTGTTACCTTTGGGAGTTGTAACAGAAAGTTTTTTCAAGAGGATATCTTGATGCTTGGGACAGGTTTCAACAATATAGACACAGATCTCACACACATCTATACAATGACGATGTATCCAGCGATTTGCACATTCCAAAATCTTGACAACCCTCTTCCGAACCTCAACCTGGTGGTAGGCAATGCTGAAAACTTTGGCAACACCCTGCATTTGTCATAAAAGAAAAAATTGAAATTACTTGCTATTTATTTTGTATGCATGTACATTGATAATTTTTTTGCGGACTTCACCACATTAATTTAACTTAGGTTAGAAAACCAAACTGACGTGAAGAAAAAGAGGATAAGCCAAAGACATCATTACGCATAAAATTTGCATTTAACAAGATGTGCAAACAAGGATGTGAAAGAAAAGCATGCATTGAGTAAAACAAGAGTTGTCTCTCTTTAACTATTATTTGTATTTCAAAGTTCACTGAAAGAAAGTTTGTGATAGTTTCTTGTAATAATTGTTCTCAGCAGATTTGCTGTGTAAGAAAAGATTATGTGAGTGCATAAGGAATGTTCAGCATATGAATGGTGGTGTGAGTGAGAAGATTGGAAAAGTTCGTAAGAGTTCGTATGTATGTGAATGCATGAAATATTATTTAACATCTGACCGCATGGTCAAGACGATAATACTTAAAGGTCACATCTTTGCAGGATGAAGAGAGAAAAAGAGAAAGAGGCAAACTCATATTTGCTCTTTATAGATAATGTAATCATGTAACAGGATCACAGCACCTTGGCGGGAAACTTGACTTAGTCATGCACAGGAAAAATATATTGCACGTGGGTGAATTGCAATGCCCACTTTTGTGTTTATTGACCAATTAGCGAATGAGTTTTGGGGAGACCTAAGAAAGCCTCTGGGAGCCGATTCTCCCAAAAGTACATGAAATCGACTCCATGAAAACACAGCGATTATAAAATTGTCGCATAGCTGTGATTTATGAATTGTCCATTACACAGTAGTGTTGATTTATTATTTATTATGAATGCTTGTTGTTGTATAATTTGAATTTGTGTATGTATGTATGTATGTATGTATGTGATGATGATCATCCTCACAAATTCATACAAAGAGTTTTTTTCTTTCTTAAACTTTAGTGCTTTAGTTAGCATTAAACCCCTACTAGCACAACTTAAATTGACTGGTCCACTTGTAAAAGTAGGAAATAATTTTTTGGGATAATTTTCGTATATTAGCATTCATTAGATTTGACTTTATTCATAACATCTGTCAGAATTGAAAAATATTTTTTTTTTTTTTTTAAATCATTTTCATAATATAAACAGTGTCAAATCGATCCATGACTTATCTGTACTTTGCATTTATTTACAAATGTCAAGTTTGAAATTGTGCTCACATCATAGATAACTACTGATTTTATCCTTTTTTTCCAATTTGTAATACAAGGTGCCCCAAAAAAAAAAAAAATAACAGGAAATTTGGTACAGTTTATTTAATTATTGGAAGAAATTTAGTTGCTTAAAACAGAACAAAAGCACAAGTATCAGATATGGTGTTCAAACTAAAGAACTCTGGCAAAATTTCTTGACATTTTTTCAGTCCCCAAGATGGATGTTCTTTCTTAAAGAGAACAATCACCACACATTGAAAATTTGATAAATGCGGTATCCAGGAATAACAAATGGTTAAAAAGTTTACATGTTAATTTTTTTAGTTCATTCATATACTAAATCTGTTTTTTTGTGGGGCACTCTGTAGTATATAGTTATTAAAGGTGATGGTAATATTAGCCATTTCCCTATAAGGAAACATTTGGCATTTATTGACTAATCTTGGTTGAAATTTATAAAATTTAATTTAAAACAATTTTTCAAGTCCAGTATCTGTTATCGCTCTTTCTAGTATTGATGGGAGTTTCCTTCTTAACCTTTTATTTAAAGTCATGTGGAATGTCAACATCATGATTGTGGAATTATTTTCTTTTCTCAAGCCCAGTAGCTGTTATCACCCTTTCCCTTCTAATCTTTTAATTGAAGTAGTGTGGAATGTTAACATCTTGATTATGTCATCATTTTTTTTTTGAGTTACATGTTCTATCCATTTTAGCTGTTGCTCCGGTCAAAAGTCCTCAAGTGATGTGGTTTTGATTGTTTGGTACAGTTCTTTGTGAATTTGTAACAGCAATCCACAATATCAAAAGTAGGATGATCTTTGTCAAGACTCTTCAGGTTTCACTTGCTCAAAGCCTTTTTTCACCATTGGTCTTAGGAAGCGGTTGTAGACATCTGACAATTTAGTTATTATCAATAATGTTTCTTACTAAGACACCAGTGAATAATTACTCTTGAAGATGACTATATCATGTTTTATAGGTGTCATCTTCTGTACCTTGATATATGATAATCATAAATATAGGCAATTATAAGCAGTTATCAAATGCAGTATACACCTGAAGAAGACAAGAGAATTAGTCAGTCAAAATGTTATGAGAAAAGCAACAAAGATGTGGATAACACACTAACAGAAGAGAAAATTACGTCCTATAGATCATTGGTTCTCAATACTTTTCACCATACATTACAATGTCATCCACTCCCTTTTCAAGAATGTCTGACTCAAAATGTGCATTTCAAATGATATAAATATTATTGTAGCATTTTGCTACTCTGTTCATTTTCACCATTTCTCATGACCGTGCCCTTGTCAGAGCAGTAAAACCCTTTTCTATGCAAACTTAAACAGTTATTTAAATTTAATAATTCACTACAACTTTTTTTTTAGGTTATTTGACTATGGTTACATAATATAAATACTTCTTCTGTCCTTTTCATAGTATAGTTTGTGTTAGGGGACCTTACCCATAATAACATAATGGGCTATTCCATACGTAATAAATACTGCGCCTCAAGAAGAAGCAGGGAGTTCTGTCTCAAGTCTAGAGTTCAGTCTGAAGTCTGTCAGGAGTCTGTCAGTCAGTCAGAGCGAGCGAGCGAGTCAGAGGCAGTCCGAACAGAGTGGCGTTCAAACAATTACTACTAAACCTGATTGTTCGTACTAACACTTTCTACTTCTCTGTATATATTCCTGTTTGTAATATATCTGTGTTATTCCATATACGTGCTTGAGTTCTTCTTTATTGGTTCGACCTTGGACTATCACCGTGGTACAAGGAACCGGACCATAACAGTTTGTAATCTTGAGTAATTTGATATTTTTCTTTATTATAACCAGAAGTTGTTAAGAAACTTGTATGGTGCAACACCCCTAATACCATAAAATCAGCAGCCCAAAAAGATCACCTCTTTAGAGGATAGGTTTTCCTCTCTTGTCGACCTCTCTCTCTCCAGTCAAAGAGAAACCCAGACAAGGCTGTGCTGAAAAGCAGAGTCTACTTTGAGGAGGCAGACAAAAACTTTTTGCCTGAGCCTACAAGGCTTGGAATGCCCTATGTTAAATAACGACCTTGTGTCACATTCCACTTTGTGGGGAGGACTGGGTAAATACCTTAGAGGATAGGTTTTCTCTCTACACTATACAGTTACCCTGCTTATGCAGTTGATGCACTTTTAGCTAGAGGAGAGCTTCAGGTCGTTTAGTGAACCTGTTCTTCAGAACAGTATGAGATGCCGTCTTCCCATATACTTGGTAGGAATCTTTAAGGTTGTTATTGTTATTTGACAGGTTACTGTGAAATTCACTGCTTTAGCAGTAGGTTGTCTCTAACCAGTATGTTCCGCAGTTTGCTATCAGGTCCTGCTGTATCAACCAAACCCATATGCAGCTCATGGACTGCCTTGTTACAAGTGCAATCTATTGTCATAGTAGACGTGTAAACCTATGCATTGAGAATCCTTTTCAGGACTAAGACACTGTCTTTCCTTTGATTACATGGTATGTGATTACCAATTGTACTTTTAAGGGTAAATTCGTTTTCTTACACCTAATTGCATGGGCCAGCACACTACCTCACATTCTGGTATCTACAGCACTTCTCAATGGTACCTGCATTCCCAGTGCACAACCTCTCACTGATGTCTCCAATGCTTCTCAATGGTACCTGCATTCCCAGTGCGCAACCTCTCGCTGATGTCTCCAATGCTTCTCAAGGGTACCTGCACTCCACGTACATGACCTCTCATTCCAATGCTTCCAGTGCTTCTCAACAGCATACAACCTCTTGTTCCAGTGTCTCCAGTGCTTCTCAATGGTGTTTGTCCACGGTTCCTGCATCCACTGTGAGGTACCATTCATTCTGGGATTTTCTGTGCTCATCAACAGCCTCAATATCTTCTGCATGCAGCCAACTATTTCTGGTGTCTACTACACAAAACTAAACTTCTCCTGAGTTCTTTGGCATCAACTAGTCTAGACTTCTTCTGTGCAAGTCTACTAACCCAGTTTAACTACTTTTTGAACATGGACTGTTCTAGGCTTCTTCTGCACATGTCTATTTTTTTTTTTGGTAAGTATAGTTTTATTTATAACAAAAACAAATTAAATAATACAACAGAACCTTTTTCCCAGTTTTGAATAGCAAAAAAAAAAAAAATTACGGTAGTGCATAGTGATTTTCTGCAAGGAAAGTCTGTAAAAGAAGTAAATAGGCCAAATTTTCTGATTATGCCTGCGTAGGTACTACGCAGTGAATTAGTAATCATGATGGCAGTAATGGGGGACAAATGACCAACAAGAAGTCCGATTTTTTCTTGCCGATAACTCCAAAATTATGAAGATACCTTCATAATTTAATTGTTAATTCGAGTTCAGTATGTACATTTGCACGGAATTATGACGATTTTGAAAAAAATTTAAGGGATATTTAGCGATCGGGAAACAAAACCAAAATTTACCATTTTTTTTAGATACAACAAATTCCAAACATTCATTACCATTTCTTTCGTAGAAATATTTTTTTTCATTTCTTTATTAAATTACGTTTTCAATAGATTTTTTAAACTGTTTTCCATTTGAATAAATATTATTATTACCGCTAACGTTTCGGTTTACTTTAAAATAAAAATTTAAAAAAAAAAAAAAAAAACGAAAAATTTATTCAGGGTAGGTAACTCCAAAAAAAAAAAATAATATAAAAATTATTCCCCTTGCATCACATGATTTATTGAAGTTACGTCAAACTTGACTTCAATAAATCATGAGATGTCTGCAAAAGAACAGTGTGTCAAAAAGAAGGGTTTTTCTTTGACACTTTAACTACCATCCATCAATCCAACCTTGGCAATATTCGTTTTAAAAAGAGATAATTAGAATTGTAATAAAATCTAAACATGTCATGAAAGTGAATATATAGATTATTTTTTTGAGAATTTAAGATAAAAATATTTAAACACTATTAGATTGATTGTTTATTTACAAGAATAATTTTGCAACATTCTAAAAATTAATATAATTAAAACTTGGTAATTCCACCGAAACGTGATACCTAAAGTTGGAGATGAATTTTAAAAAGTGAAAAATCTTTCTTGAAGCTTTTATTTTAGTTTTAATTACAAGCTAATAATTTAATTTTAATATTTCCACTAAGCAAAATACTTTGCTGTATTCAAAACTAATTTAAATTAACTTAGAGTAGTTTTTGTTTAAAAATCACTGATTTTAGTACTATTTTTAGTCATTTCTCAGCTAGATGTAATTTTCATTATTAAAAAATCTTTCAAAAATAACATATACTTTCCTGAAACTTTGAGTAATATTAGCTGATTTAAAATATAATTAATCCGATTTAAAACAAATATTATTTACTTTAAATTTAAAATATCACAGAAATGCATTTTTTAACATGGAGGTAAGTGTGTCGGAATTAACTCCTCCTTCAGTTTGTTAACCCTTTCACCAGGGTCTCTCTTATAAATAGCCGCTGACCCTTCACCTCTCTCTTTTTCCCTCAGGCCTGTGCGGACACCTTGAGGTAACTCTCTCTTTTTCCTCAGGCTTTCAGCTATCAACCTCGAAATGTAGGTGCTAACAAGGGATAGCGTGGAAACACGCTAAGCACAATACACACGCACGCACATACAGGATATTCACACACGCACGCACATACAGAATATTCACATACACTTCATCTTTTGTACTGTTTGCATGTATTGTAACTTGTTATTAATATATATATTTGTATATACATATATTATCGGTCTTGTGTTTTGTTGGCTTTCTTTGCCTTCTTCTTTGGACTTAATCAAAGTCCAACCTTTTTATGTAGTTGGGCCCGGCGAGCAGGAGAATCTGAACCTTACATGCGTTTTTTCTACGTCTGACTTCACAACATCACAGCCACGGCCCTCTACAAGTGTTTATGTGTGTTGACAGCTTGACAGACAGAAGGTGTTTAACTAATTTTTTCTACAGTGGACATATTTGTAAAAATTACTTGAAGAATAAAATGTGAGCATCTTTTTTAAATTATTTTTAACTGTCCAGTAATCTTAAAAATTTAGGAAAATATTCTCCATAATCTAATGTTTATTGAATTTTAGCTACTTTGGCTTTAAATTTACTATAGTTATCACTATTATTTTCTGATAATGTCATGTATGGACGTCCATATTTACAAAAATTGGCATGTTTATGCACATAAATTAAATTCAAAATTCTTTTTAAAATATTGGGGTAGGGGAAGGTCACTGAATTGTAGTAATCTTTTCTATTTATGATTAGTAGATATAGTTTTTACTTACTAACAATATCACCTAATCGGTATGAATTAGTATAGAAATTTAAAAGATTTTAAACTTTATAAAAATTATTCTAATTAAATGTTTTTAAAAATGAAAACAATTCTGGTAAAAATTCATTATTCTTCAAAAATGTTTTTTTTTTCTTAAGACAATATAAAAGCAGTTAAAAGCTTTTCTAATTAAATAATGTATTAGTTATATTATATTTTTTATTTTACAATTCAGAGCAGATTTAAACCAAATTTATTAGAGGTTATTTGGTGCCTGATTTTGTCAGCAACAAAGACTTATCCTCTTTTAGTTAATAATAGTTATGAGAAGACGCAAAGAGGCATCTGTTGTGATCTGAACTATCACGTTAGTATAGTTGGGAAAAAAGTTATTTCTATAGTAGCTGAATAGGCAGGTGTGAATCAAGGAAAAAATTGTGGGTTCACCTGATATTTGTGAAAAGGCACAAAAGCATTGATGCCAGCTTTTACGCACAAAGAACCTCAGTGGCACAATTCCCAATAGGAAAGTTGAAAATTTCACTTAAAATTATATCTTTGAAATGTCAACCAGACCTACTTACCTGATAAAAATTTATTTCATGAGTCAGAAAGACAGTTTTCTCATGACTATCATTCGTTGTATCGATTCCCAGGACACCAAATACTCTTTTCCCTTGGTCTTTCAAAGGAATCACCAAAAAAGATCCTTGATTTTCCTAAAAGAATAATAAAAAGTGTTTTGGATATTATTAAGGTGATATAGTTGTTCAACCTGTAAATGTTTAATGTTAAGTGGAATTCTGTAAGGTTGTATTGTTATAATTCTATAAATTCTTCAGACTACTATCACATACTTTTCTAGTTTTATGGTAGTGAATGTTGGACAATTTCCTATAAATAAAGACAATTGTAACTTCCTCCTTACTAATGGAATACAAAAGGGGTTGGGGATGATTTTGTCCCAGCGAATGTGACATAATGGACCTTAGGTTTAAAGGTCTGAACTGGTTCAAATAAGGTTTGTAATATGGAATAAATGTTCAAAGTGTAAAGCAAAGAGAACACTTTATAATAACAAGCAAACAGCAAAGCATGTTGGGTAATCCTTCAGATAAGCAACGTAAAATAATCTGTCGAAGTTATGCTTCTCTTAAATAATATAAAATAAATAAAAAAAAAAAAATCTAATTTTATACATTTAATGTTTTTTTTCATCATAAGTATCACATTAATACTGCTATTTTTTTTTTTTTAACCCTTTTCATTCCATCATTGATCGTAGCCTGGCTCTCCCTAGTGGCACATAAGGCTAAAATATGACATTTTAACAATAGTCAATATAAAGCCTTTATTTTCCCTTAGATCCTCTATAGTAATGCATCATAGCTTGATTGCAATTCCTTTAATATTGCTACTTTCTTTTAACCCTTTCATTCCATCATTGATCATAGCCTGGCTCTCCCTAGTGGCACATAAGGCATTTTAACAAAAATATGACATTTTTTAACAATAGTCAATATAAAAGCCTTTATTTTCCATTAGATCCTCATATAGTAATGCATCATAAAGCTTTGATTGTAATTCCTTTAATATTGCTACTTTCTTTTAACCCTTTTCATTCCATCATTGATCATAGCCTGGCTCTCCCTAAGTGGTACATAAGGCTAAAATATGACATTTTAACAATAGTCAATATAAAGCCTTTATTTTCCCTTAGATCCTCTATAGTAATGCATCATAGCTTGATTGCAATTCCTTTAATATTTCTACTTTTTTCTTTTTTAACCCTTTTCATTCCATCATTGATCATAGCCTGGCTCTCCCTAGTGGCATATAAGGCTAAAATATGACATTTTAACAATAGTCAATATAAAGCCTTTATTTTCCCTTAGATCCTCTATAGTAATGCATCATAGCTTGATTGCAATTCCTTTAATATTTCTACTTTCTTTTAACCCTTTTCATTCCATCATTGATCATAGCCTGGCTCTCCCTAGTGGCATATAAAGGCTAAAAATATGACATTTTAACAATAGTCAATATAAAGCCTTTATTTTCCCTTAGATCCTCTATAGTAATGCATCATAGCTTGATTGCAATTCCTTTAATATTTCTACTTTCTTTTAACCCTTTTCATTCCATCATTGATCATAGCCTGGCTCTCCCTTAGTGGCATATAAAGGCTAAAATATGACATTTTAACAATAATCAATATAAAGCCTTTATTTTCCCTTTAGATCCTCTATAGTAATGCATCATAGCTTGATTGCAATTCCTTTAATATTGCTACTTTCTTTTAACCCTTTCATTCCATCATTGATCATAGCCTGGCTCTCCCTAGTGGCACATAAGGCTAAAAATATGACATTTAACAATAACAATAGTCAATATAGTAATGCATCTTTATTTTCAATTCCTAATAGATCCTCTATTAGTAATGCATCAATATAAAGCCTTTTGATCCTCTATAGTAATGCATCATAGCTTGATTGCAATTCCTTTAAATATTTCTTTTTAACCCTTTCATTCTTTTAACCCAATTTTCATTCCATCTATAGTAATGCATCATAGCCTGGCTTTCTTTTCCCTTTTCATTCCATCATTGATCATAGGCTAAAATATGACATTTTAACAATAGTCAATATAAAGCCTTTATTTTCCCTTAGATCCTCTATAGTAATGCATCATAGCTTGATTGCAATTCCTTTAATATTTCTACTTTCTTTTAACCCTTTTCATTCCATCATTGATCATAGCCTGGCTCTCCCTAGTGGCATATAAGGCTAAAATATGACATTTTTAACAATAGTCAATATAAAGCTTGATTTTATTTTCCCTTAGATCCTCTATAGTAATGCATCATAGCTTGATTGCAATTCCTTTAATATTGCTACTTTCTTTTTAACCTTTCATTCCATCATTGATCATAGCCTGGCTCTCCCTAGTGGTACATAAGGCTAAAATATGACATTTTAACAATAGTCAATATAAAGCCTTTATTTTCCTTAGATCCTCTATAGTAATGCATCATAGCTTGATTGCAATTCCTTTACTATTGCTACTTTCTTTTAACCCTTTCATTCCATCATTGATCATAGCCTGGCTCTCCCTAGTGGCACATAAAGGCTAACAAAAATATGACATTTTTTAACAATAGTCAATATAAAGCCTTTATTTTCCCTTTCCCATTTAGATCCTCTATAGTAATGCATCATAGTTTGATTGCAATTCCTTTAATATTGCTACTTTCTTTTAACCCTTTTCATTCCATCATTGATCATAGCCTGGCTCTCCCTAGTGGCATATAAGGCTAAAATATGACATTTTAACAATAGTCAATATAAAGCCTTTATTTTCCCTTAGATCCTCTATAGTAATGCATCATAGTTTGATTGCAATTCTTTAATATTGCTACTTTCTTTTAACCCTTTAATATTGCTACTTTCTTTTAACCCAATTTTCATTCCATCAGTTGATCATATTCCTTTAATATTGCTACTTTCTTTTTTCTCCCTAGTGGCATATAAGGCTAAAATATGACATTTTAACAATAGTCAATATAAAGCCTTTATTTTCCCTTAGATCCTCTATAGTAATGCATCATAGCTTGATTGCAATTCCTTTAATATTGCTACTTTCTTTTAACCCTTTTCATTCCATCATTGATCATAGCCTGGCTCTCCCTAGTGGCATATAAAGGCTAAAATATGACATTTTAACAATAGTCAATATAAAGCCTTTATTTTCCTTAGATCCTCTATAGTAATGCATCATAGTTTGATTGCAATTCCTTTAATATTGCTACTTTCTTTTAACCCTTTCATTCCATCATTGATCATAGCCTGGCTCCCCCTAGTGGCACATAAGGCTAAAATATGACATTTTAACAATAGTCAATATAAAGCCTTTATTTTCCCTTAGATCCTCTATAGTAATGCATCATAGCATAGCCTGATTGCAATTCCTTTAATATTGCTACTTTCTTTTAACCCTTTCATTCCATCATTGATCATAGCCTGGCTCTCCCTAGTGGCACATAAGGCTAAAATATGACATTTTAACAATAGTCAATATAAAGCCTTTATTTTCCCTTAGATCCTCTATAGTAATGCATCATAGCTTGATTGCAATTCCTTTGATATTGCTATTTTCTTTGATCATTTTCCCATGCCATGTTTGAAGAGCAAACATTTTGGCATCAAGTTTTCAAATTTCCTGATTTTGATGAATAACCCTTTAAAAAAAATCTGTTACTTTTATGTTGTCAAGAGCAGTGTACGCATACCAGTTGAATCAGCAAAAATTTTAACAAACTTCCAAGTCCCAATGTACATTATTCAGACTATGTTCCACATTTTTATTGCCATATTCGCAATGTTTCAGCTGTTGTATGCTCCAGCATTCTTCAGTTGATATACATTGGAATTTCAAACCAAACCCTTTGTATATCACCTGAAGAAGGCTGGAGCATAGAACGGTAAAAACATCATGAATATGACAACAAAAATGAGGACAACTGTCTGAATAATGTAAATAGTTACAACACCTCATCTTGGAATTATAGACAGATGTTCCAAGTTCCTTTTCAACAAAAATCTACTTTACTCTGAAAACTATCCTTCAAACTATTTTTACAAAATTAGTTCAGTGGATAAAAATTAGCCTTAAACTGACCGTTTTCCAGTTTGATTGGTTCCAAAAGTGGATGTTACCATGTGTCTTAACTTTTGGCACATAAACAGGTATGCCCTTATCAACACAAAGGAAGCTGGAATAAAACAAAACAAGATGATGACGAATAGAATTTCTCTAAAAAAGTCATGAAGCCCGCTTCACATACTCGCAGCCACCCAAGATCAGTTTATTACCTAAAAAGTCGGCAGGTTTTTAAAGACAGACAGATAAAGAACAGACTGAGATAGATTTACAACCACTTGAGGGATTTGACATGTAATATTGATCAGTTAGAATAGTCCATTAAACATTTATTGAATATTCATACACGTGTGTCTTATCAATAGTGCTTTCCTATCTGTCTCAATCTGTTCAAATATATCTCAATTTGTGTTTATTTATCTCATTCTGTTTCTTTTGTATCTGATGATTGAGTAGCCATGGTCAAATGCAAAATAAAGAACAGAACTGCCCAACAAAAAGAATTAACAAAATCTGCAAGAAAAAGGAACAAGGCAAAAATGAAATAATATCGCACAAGCAAGCAGACAATATATGCAAGGCAAATTAGCAGTAATAAGACAAAAAATTCTTAAACTGAGAATTGGTGTTGACACACAAAAGCATGTTTGGACAAGCGAACATAGCGTTCTGTCTTCTAGACAAGGCAAATCGGAACTGAGTCATGTCAATCTGCAAACCAGACTATTTTATTTGCTAAGAAAAATATCCCAGCATGCATTTGTGTACTTCTGCCTATAAAAGGGGAAAGTGCTTTGTTGTCATTCCCATGTGAGATTGAAATCAACACTATCTATACTTCTCAGTCTAATCCAATCTATCTATGCATCAGTGTCATCATTTGTATGCATCTGTCTCAGACTATTCTTACACACACACACATATATATATATATATATATATATATATATATATACACACACATATATATATATATATATATATATATACACACACACATATATATATATATATATATATATATATATATATGGTTGTCACATATGAAATGACACATTTTTTGGTTGGTTGTTGATTCAGTCATCTAACAAAGTAACTTCCTTAATACATAAAAAAAAATCTTGGCTTATTCCAGATAATTTTTCTTTCAATATATTGTTACTCATAAGCCTAATAAAAATGATTACAATGAAACAATGTCAAATATGCACATCAATATTGGAAACAATTATTTGGAGGATTCTTGCTTGCAGTGGAAAACAGTTCATCCGCTCCTATTACTGATACATATAGACTTAACCTGCTAATACACCAGGTTTCCATATACATATATACCACTATGTCTCATTGCAAAACTTACCAGAGTACCATGGATGTTTTGGATGGAATTTTTGTGAAGAGACAAAATATAATCTTTGCCCAGCATGTATTAACAATTACTTGCCAATCCCCTGAAGAGGGTTTGGGACAGTATCTTCAGCACTTAAAAATCTTAAGTCAAGACTGCAACTTTCAAGCGACAGCAGCAGATCAGACAAAGGTCAAATTTCAGAGACTCCTTTATAAATGGATTAGGATCAAACTATATCTGTCAAAAATTGCTGGAAAATAAACAACTAGATTTAGCTGCTGCTTGTAAGCAAACACTTGGAGATTGCAGAAAAGCAGTCTTGTTCATACATACAAACAAGTGTTGCAGAGACTGCACTAAGTACTCACACTCCTACTAGTCCACCAGTTCAAACAACTCAAACAGGGAAGAAAAAACAGTCAACAACAGACTTCCTCATTTCTGCCACCCTCTCCACCAGTTCAAAATCTTCTCTCTCTAGAAGACACTGCATACAGTGCTAGGCTAGTGCTGCAGCCAGATGAAAATGTTATTTTTGTGGTCTCAAACTACACCCCTGGTCATGTTGCTCAGCCAGGGAAACTAAATGCCCCAAGTGAAGGAAGAAGGGACATTTCTCTAAGGTTTGTCAGTCAAGATTTTTTTTTTACCATGTTCAAATGCTCTTATTGCAACTAATATCACATCAACTGCAAATCCTAAATGTCTTTCAAAGGCTCTATTAACAGTAAAAATAAACAAGGTAGAAATAAATGCTCTAGTCAACACAGGAAGCTCAAAGAGTTTTATTGGCACTAATATTAAAAAAGCAATAGATTCAAAATCGTATATTGTAATAGGTAGCTATAGCAAATGCTTCACTATCTTTGCAGGTTAGAAGATGTATTTTGGCCGGCCTAGGATTGAATCAAACCAACTACACTAACACCAAATTTTTCGTGATGCTAAAACTGTGCTGCAATATCATACTGGGCCATGATTTTCTCAAACAACTTTCTAGTATTAATCTCCTTGCTGGGGGCCCAAACCTTGCATTGAACATCTGTGGACTGGCTGTTATAAATGTACAATACTTCTCTTTTTTTTTGAAAACTTAACCAAAGACTGTAAACCAGTGGTCACTAAACCTTGAGAATATTCTCTTGAAGACTAAATGTTTATTCAAGCAGAAATAACAAGAATGTTAAGAGAAGGAATAATCAAAGAAAGCAGACCACCATGGAGGTCACAAGTATTAATAACGTCCTCTGATAATAAAAAAAAAAAAAAAAAAAAAAGGATGGTCATAGACTACTCCAAAACTATAAATAGGTACACCCATCTGGATGCATACTCTATACCCCATATTGACAAAATGATAAACAAAATTGCCAAATACAGAATATTTGGCATGTTAGACCTAAGGATTCCCATTGCTTCCCACCAAGTAGCTATAGACTCTAAAGATAAGCCTTATACGGCTTTTGAAGCCTGTGAACGGTTTTATCAGTTCTGATGGATTCTGTTTGGTGATACTGACAGGTTTCCAGTTTTCAGAGGGTCCTCGATAAAATAATTCTGCAAGAAAAACTACAAGGCACCTTTGCTTATATTGTAAAAGTCAAGGTGCTAAAAAAATGGCAACATGTCTTCATTGGTCGCTACTTTAATCACTGACCAAAAGTGAAAAGATAGCGAGATGGAGAGTAGAACTTCCGTTTTTCGTTTGACATTTTCTATCAGTCGGGAAAGGAAAATGCAACGGCAGACATGCCGTCAAGAGTGTGTGGATGAATAAACACCGCCAGAGATCTACAAAAGGTTCATAATGATCTCTGTCATCCAGGCATCACGAAAATGATGCATGTGGTTTGAAGCCAGAATTTACCTTTTTTCAGTTGTGGAAGTAAAACAAATAACAAATGGTTGTCAGATTTGGTGCTTGAGTAAAACCAAAGACTTGAACCAGGAACCCTAGTAAAAGCTGCACAATCATTTGAGAGGCTGAGCATGGACTCCTCATAAAGTATGGCTTCAGTAACCACACTCTCTCTTTCTCTCCCAATCAGAAGTTATCAAGTACACTGCCTTATATATAAGTTTAGAGCCATTTTGCAATCACATGTATTACCAAAGAACAATCAGTTACAGAAAGGGGGCTTACAGGCAATTTGCAGTCATACCATTTCTTTGTGTCACATCCTTTCAAGACATAGGCAATTATAGCTCTTCACAACTATCTTGTGTAGCTTTTAGCTGTTTTTCTCCCTTTGCTAAAACCTTTGCTGCCTGTTCTGTCATTCATTCACACAAAGGAAAAATGTATAACAAAGTGGAAAAAAGTTTTTGTGTGACATGTTTTGTTCTTTGGGACTTCATCAGACTAAATTTGTTTTGTTGGTGCGACTACACATTTATAAATGATTTATAATTTATAGGAATGATTTATATAGAAATTTTTGTATAAATAATTCCATTGAAAATAGCATTGTTCTACATTTGTATACTTTTCTGATAAAAATTGTCAATTTAAAAACGGTTATGGTAATTTACCCACACACGCATGAACTCTCACAGCTATAAAAAGGAGCAGGTACTTCCTTTTAGAGAGGAAAGTTTTCAGCAGTCAGCTCTGACAGACTGAACATTCTTGCTGTAACACTCTCGTTTGTATATGTTTGTATTACTGTTTCTGTTAATATATTTGTTTAACTCAATTCCTCTCTTTGTGTCTTTATTTCTAGCCCCTAACAAAGCCACAACAAAAACAAATAACTCTTTTAGATAAAATTAATTGACTGATTTGTATTTTATAGCTTATCAACCCTTTGTGGGTTATTTAACCTTTATCACTCAGTACATGACTTCATTTGCTGTGCAAAACGTTTATCTTGTGACTGAAGGTGACTCTGGTTCCTGAACAATAGTGTGTTTGAATTTCATAGTTGTGTTTTCATATCCTGCTATGGCAACAGAAAACAACTTTAAGTGAAATTAACAATAAGGATACTGCAATTGAGAGTCCTTGAAAAAGAATGCAACAGAAGGGCAAGTATTATTTACATTATTCGGACTGTTGTCCTCATCTTTATTGTTATGATTTTTGGCTGTTGCACGCTCTGGCCTTCTTCAGGTGATTGGAATTTTGAACTGAAGCCTTTATTTTGTCCACCGTGGTAGATTGAAAGGGGATTAATAATGCAGAGTGCTAAAGGTTAAATTGAATATATGTTGTATTTTGAAATTTTTCTTTCAAGTGAATATTGATTTAACACTTTTTTGGAGATAATGATTTTTTCAGATCATAGCTGAGGAGAGGTGGATTCATTCCTTTCCCAAGGGTATTAGTGCCAAAGTGAATCTAACAAACGCAACTGGAAATTGAACTCAGCTCTCCAATTTCTCATTCCAAGCCACTATCCTTTTCATCACCTGCTCATCCTATGTTAGATAAAAAGGTTCACTTAAAAGAATATTAAATTAAAACAAAACGATTTTTTTCAAGTGCAAAGATATTTAAATTAAAATTATATGGAAAAAAATTTTTATATTTCTTATTACCCATTTATGCTGTGCTTTGCCATTGAGCACTTGATTTTAAAATTATGATTGAATTTCACTCTATTTGCTGTTCAGTCTTTGGTTTATTTTCTCATCAGTTCTTGTATGATCACCGATGTTAAGCAATGCTGAATCTGGTCAGTACCTAGATGGGTTACTGTTTGGGAATACCAAGTGCTCTAAGTTTAGATGTGTGGGTGGTGTAAAGGATGACAGCTTGGAATTGGAAATTGGAGAGCTGAGTTCCAATTCCAGTTGGGTTTGTTATATTCACTTACGTGCAAACACCCTTGGAAAAGGTATGAATCCACTTCTTCTCCCCCCAGCTATGGATTGTATCACTAAATGATTATTATTTGCAAAAAAAATAAGAAGAAAATGTCTTACAATCTAAAAATATTTTCTTTAAATAACATGTAAAGGGTCAATAAGCCGTAAAAAACGAATCAATGAATAAAAAAACAAAACAAAGGGAAAAGAAGATGGTTTGGTTTATTTTGTTTTACAGCATATCAACCACAATGGGTTATTTAATGCCGACAACATTTTTTATTGCTGGTAATATTTTGTTTTGTCAAAAATCTGTTTCTGGTAATAATTTTTTCCTTCAATATTGTATTGCTGGCAATAATTTTTTTTCAAAAGAGTATTGCTGGTAGTAGTTAACTATTTTCCCATAGCTGGGACCCTAACTGGTGCTACTACCCTGGGTCAGGGTGAACCTGGGAACACCAGCAATTAAGAGATGGTTCCATGCTCCTCAAAACCTCCTGATCAGAGGCATTGCTGCTGGATGTAGTCTATCGTCTTACCCAGGATTAGGGGAAAGAAGAATAAGCGTAAAAAAAATGTTAATTACCGTGAAGGTGGGAATAAAAAAATATAGTAGAAAAGTAACAATAATATAAAACAAGGGAGCCTTACATCCACATCACATAGAAACACTGGTTTTCATATAATCACCAGAGTTAAGCAACATCAAACCTGGTTTGTACCTAGATGGGTGACCACTTGAGAATACCAGTTGGATGTGTGGGTGGTATAATGGATAATGGCTCACAATCAGAATTCTAAGCCGGCAAACGTTATATCATCTGCACATTCGAATTACACTCGGATCCTATTTAAATACCTACCTCACTCCTTTCATGTCTCTGTAGAGTATCTTGCCTTTCACAAACTCTGCATGATCCGGAGTAGCAGCCATGTAATGGAGAAAGTTTTCTCCACGTTCCTTGGGATCCTTGTGATTGGTCACCAAGAGTGCAATGTAAGCACTGATCTTCTTCCCTCCACCATGAATCTCAGCATCCTGAAATATATGGAGACAACATCAGAAATAGATACTTACATATGGTAAAAACTTATTTTAAAATTACTGCCGTCCTGGGTAAGACGATAAACTACATCCAACAGCAAGGCCTCTGATTAGGAGGTTTTTAGGAGCATGGAACCACCTCTTAATTGCTGATGTTCCCAGGTCCACCCTGACTTGGCTATGCACAAATAGTTAACCCCAAACTAGAGTCAAAACACTATGAAAGTGTAAAAATGGGTTTTAATATTAGCAGTACATTTTTGCAAAAAATTATTACCAGCAATGGATCTTTAAAGAAAAGAATTATTACTAGAAATAGATTTTTGAAAAAAATATTAGCAGCAATAAAAATCTTGTTGGTATTATATAACCCATTGAGGTTGAAATGACCTAAACCAAACCAAACCAAATTTTAAATTACTGTTCATGTTAGAATATTCAACAATGAAATTATACATACATGTACAGACACACACATACACTTTTTTTTTGTTGAAATTAGATTAGTATTAATTTTGTGCAAAGCAAGCTAGGTCTTTTTTTCTTTTTTTATCGGTATCACCCCATGTAAGGCAGTAAAGCCACTAAGACTCAAGGAGTTACTGAGTGTGGAAGAATTAGGAACAGAAACATTAATAATGAGCAGTAAGAGGAAAGGATAATTAGGAGGACAGTAGATAGAGATTGACATTGCATTTAAAAGCATCTATCTATCTTTCTTCTTTTTAATCAGTATCACCCCATATAAGGCAATAAAGCCACTAAGACACAAGGAGTTACAACATGTGGAAGAATTAGGAACAGAAATATTAATAATGAGCAGGAAGAGGAAAGGATAATTAGGAGGACAATAGATAGACATTGACATTGCATTTAAAAGCATCTATCTATCTTTCTTTTTTTTAATCAGTATCACCCCATGTAAGGCAGTAAAGCCACTAAGACGCAAGGAATTACAGGGTGTGGAAGAATTAGGAACAGAAACATTAATAATGAGCAGGAAGACAAAATAGTGAGAGTAATAAGGAGCGCTGTCGATAGCACAGTACTAGACTGGTGACACGGTCTAACCAATTTACTGTTGAGCTGGTTAGATGTAGCTGTAAATTCTATGCTTACAGTTTTGTTTCTCACACTTTTTGCTTGTGGAACTCCTTTCTGGCTCCATGATTTTCAGCCAACTTTGATCTGCAGAAATTTAAATGTCAACTACTATCTGCTGTCTTGATTACTTTTCCTCTCTCCTCGTTCCTTAGCAATGTTCTTGTTTCTAACTCTCCACATCCATTAACCCCTTGCGTCTCTGTGGCTTTACTGCCTTGTTTGGGCTGAACTTGATTAAAGAAAAAAGTTGCCATTCAAGGCCTGAGACTCCATCCTAGCCTCTCTCTCTCTCTCTCTCTATATATATATATATATATATATATATATATAGTGTGTGTGTATGTATGTATGTATATATATATATATATATATATATATATATATATATATATATATATATATATACACACACACACAACATCCCCTAAGGAAAATACTGGTTGGAAACACAAAAATTCTATATAAGTCAAATTACTGGAAACATCTTGCAGTGAGAGATGACCTGTATATAATGTAATGAGTTGGTCAGTCAACTTGACACCCCCAAAGTGAGTGGAGGTGGGCAGGCGCGGGAACTGTGATTGGTAGCTGGCTTGTTAGTGTTTTGCATAGGTGAGTTACCAAGCTCTATGTGAAAGGCTGGAATGAGAAGGAGGGTAGTTTTCAGTCTCAGAAGTGGAGACTGCATCCGTCGCTACGACAGCAGGAGAGAAAGAGACGAAATCATTTTTTTCTTCGTGACACATTCCAACACATATAAAACATCTCATTCCCACTATAAACCTCATCTTCTTCAATATTTTATTGTTTAAAATCAATAGAAAGACACTCACTTGAATTCTAGCCGCACTCAACATGCAAGGCTTGTAATAAAACTCCTACTTGTATTCAAAACGACACAAAAACACATTTTATATACTCAAACATGAAGAGAAATTAACAACACTTAAAAATATACCCCCTTGAAAGCGGCAAAAACTACTTGGGACAATAGACAATGAACAGAAAAATGTAAGAATGCTCGAAAAATTAAAAATAAAGAATTAATTAAATTTTCCTTGTCTGTCATATTCAATAAAACATGTTTAAAAGAAAGGTTGCTACCCAAATATATATGAATTATATATATATATATATATATATATACAGTAGCGGCCATAATATAAGGAACGGAAACAATAAAGACATAAATGTGTATTAATTAAAAAGTAATGCATGATATCCAATAAAGATTAGGGTGTAATGCATAAATATTATACAAAGTTATAAAAATTTACATAATAGTTTTTTTTTTAAATAAAGATTAAATGGAACCAAGGAAATGAGCTACTGGACAAAAGTTAAGGAATGATGTTAATAATTTGCATAAACTTTTAATTTACATTGTTAAAAAACTCGATGGAGATTTTCAACAATAAGTAAAAGTTCATTTATCATTAGGACTTTATTTTTTTAAGCAATATGGCAAATTCTACATAAAACGCTCTCTTTTGAAGAAAAAAACTCATTATCGATAACTATCAAGAAAAAAAGTCAATTTCAGAAATTTCTGATATTATCCATAGGTCTAAAAGTGTCATTCATCGTATAATTAGCAGGTATGAAACCGATAAAACGTTAGATGAAACTGCCACATCAATTGCCCGTAAATTTAATGAAGAGACAGATAATAAGATCTCAAGGAAAACGGTTGCTCGCAGGTTAAAAAATGCAGATTGCATGCCCGTATTCCAGCTTCAAAGCGAAACCAAAAGGCATGCCTGGAGTATGAACGAGAACATGTTGTTTGGATTGACACACAATGGGATACAGTTCATTTCAGTGACGAGTCCAAGTTTACTATATTTGGTTCAGAGGGCAAAACTTACATAAGCCGTAGAATGGGTGAAAGACTGTCTTCTCAATGTGTCAAGAAAACCATTAAGTTTGGTGGTGGCAGTGTGATGTTGTGGGGAAAGATTTCACCTGCAGGAGTTGGCCCTATCATCCGTGTACATGGCAATATCAATGCTGAGATTTACAAAAGGCTTCTTCAGCAGCATGTGGCACCAAGATTACACCATAATCTTTATGAATCTCCTATTTTCCTGCAGGACAATGCACCTTGCCACAAGGCTCAGAAGGTTATGGCTTTATTTGAAGAAGAAGGAATCGCCCTAATAAAGTGGCCAGCCCAGAGCCCTGACCTGAATCCAATAGAAAATGTTAGGAAGATAATTTGAGAAAGTGCTCAGAAAAGAAACCCAAAAAACCAGGATCACCCATGGGAGTTATTGAAAGACGAATGGGAGGGAATTACTGCTGATTTTTGCAAGAAATTAATTAGATCATGTGGACAACGATGCAGAAAAGTCATTGAAAATAAGGGGATGTTTACCAAATATTAAATTTTGTTGATATTTTGTTCACAATCAAGTATTAACAAGATTGTTCCTTAACTTTTGTCCAGTAGCTTATTTCCTTTGTTCCATTTAATCTTTATTTAAAAAAAAAACTATTATGTAAATTTTTTTAACTTTGTATAATATTTATGCATTACACCCTAATCTTTATTCGGTAAAAATTTCATTGCTAACCATGCATTACATTTTAAGTAATACACATATTTATGTCTTTGTTGTTTCCATTTCTTTATATTATGGCCGCTTCTTTATATATATATATATATATATATATATATATATATATATATATATATATAAAACCATATATATATTGGTGTGACTGAAAATGAGGCCATGAATTGATAGGAATAAAAGATTTTATGAAAATAAGGCTGGAAACTTTTACATCAGTCTAATATTATTGGCAAGATTGGCTGTCAATATATAAAATTTAATACCCACTCCCCACCCGAACCTTATTATTATTATAATTAATGTTTTTTTTTTACCTTACAGAGAGTGCTGAAAACTTTGTTGAAAACTGGAGACAAGTGGGTTCCATTAGTTTTTCCAGCATTCACAATAGAATTCAGCCACATCTTCCGTGCATTTCCACGTACACGTTCCAGTTGACTGAGCTGAGATGAAAAATCCAAAAAGAATGGAATAAATAAAAAAATTAAACAATGAAGGACAAGTGTTTGTACACTTAGAGACAATTCAATTTATTTGAAAATGGAGAGATTGTTAGAGAGGAATGGACTGGTGGGTGGGGGGACACACAGGTATTCAATTGACAAGAATATTTCTCTTTTTTTTACCTTATAATATTATGTTATATTGTAATTATTATATAATTATATTATTATAATGCAACTTGAAAAGTTGGTTCTGTTTTTTCTGTGAGATGGCATTAGGAGTGTTTATTTTCAAATAACTTAATTAAAAAGATTGTTTTTGTTGTATAATAACTGTTATATTTGCATGCATCTTTAAAAAAAATGTTTGTCAGAATTGGAACAGAGTTTTTTTGTTTTTTTACTGATTCTCACACCGGTGATGGAAGAAAAGAAAAAAAGCAAGATTTTTAGAAGATGATTTATTTCTTTAAATTAAAGGTAAAAATGTAACTCAAATACAAAAAATGGATTCATGGTTGACTGTTTTTTTTTTTTACAGCTTATCCATCCATTGTGGTTATTTAAAGCTTTAAGTATGTGTTTGGTGGCGAGAGAAAGGAATAACAAGGATTATATTTTGAACAATGTTTATTGTTAGTATATATGGTGTTGTACAGATACTGCAAAATAGGTTGAATGTATGTTTCTGGTGTATTATCAAGATGGCAATCAGGGTTAAGAGAAAAGCCAGAAGTTGACCTATTGTTTGCACTGACCTGGCCGATGTCACAGGACATGGTCAGTGTACATGTTGGTTGATCAAGGTCACAAAGGTTGGTAGGCCTATTCTATGGAATGGGAACACAGTGATGACTGTAAAGAAATGCCTTGGTTATGCTGAGGTGACGGCAGTGGGTTGCCGAGGTGTTGTCCCGGAGTGGTTAGGGAAACTATAAATATGACTATGATGATACAAGCATGTGTCGTCAGGAGAAGTCATGAATCTGACTTTGCTGATGATGGTTTGCCAACAAGGTGTTGTCAGATTGGTGTGCATTGGTAGGCCTGTTCTGTGGAACAGGGGCCACAGTGGTGACTGTGAAGGGAATGCTTTGTACATGTTGATTATGCCTAGGTGACGAGGTTGAGATTTTGTCATGCTGAAGCTGGACAGCTGAGGTGGCTAGTCAAGCCTGGGAGTGGCAATGGTCGGTGAGAGGAGCGATCATGTTGAGAGGTGGTGGTGGGGGTGACAGTGATGGCAGCGGCATTATCATCAGCAGCAGCAGCACCCGGTGTGCCATCCAGTGGCCTGCTAGACTGCAAATGTGGTTATTGAGGTGACAAAATTATGGTAGCAGTAATAACAGCAGCAGCACACTGTGTGATGGCCAGTGGCCTGCCAGCCCGCAACTGTCTTGGTCATTCTCATAGACCTTCTTTTAAGCAGATCTGGTAGCATCTAGGGGTATCTCTTTTTCATCTGGGAATGTTCATGATTGGCCAGTGTCACTTTCATTGCCAGAGCTTGCTTTATAGACTGGATGTGATGCATAGAGCCTATGTGCAGAAAACAACTTTTTTAATTTGGTTCTCTGCCTTCATGGCATTCACACCCAGAATGAATCAGAAAGAGATCTAACTGCAACAAAGTATAACAATACCAAAGTATATTTTGGATTGTATGAGTTTGCTTACAATATCTGGTGTTCCCAATTGCCCTGCTCCATCTAAGTAATGACTGGGCTTGACACTGCTTAACTTTGGTGATTAAACAAGAACTGGTCTTATAATAATAAGCCAAAACTTGAAGAGGGAATTTACTCTATCACTTGTAATAATTGCCACATGGAATACATATGAGAAACAACAATAAATTTAAATAAAAGATTATATGAATACAAGAGGGATCTTCTACAAAACAAATACCACCAAATGAGATAAGGAAACAAAATAGTAGCCAAGTGAAGACATATATAAATATTTACTTTATTATTTAAGCATGAAAATTATTTATGTAAAAAAAATGAAATACAATTTTCCTCACTTAAGAAAACACTACAACACTCAAAAATTAAGGACAGCACATGTCTAGAAAACTGGAAGTCAAATGGCAACAATTAAAGGGAAGAGGGAGAAAAGGTTAATGATTGATTGTAAAGTGAAAAAAAGGACAAATAATCATGACATTCTAGGAAGCCACTCGATATAGAAGCTTTCAGAGTAAGAGGTACAGCTTATAGTGATATGTGAGGAAGATAAGTTAACACTAGACTTGAATAGGTTAAGATTGGAATGATCTGGGAAGCATTCTCTTGGGAGACTGAAAACAAAGATTTAAAGTGCAAAATTGGATTGGAATGGAAAGAGAGAGAGAGTGGGGCTTTTTAAATCCCCAATCCCATGCAACTCACCTCCACACTGTCTGTCAAGTAATCAATGAAATATTCATATTCAAATTGACCCGAGATGTTATTCGTAATGTCTTGTACAAAATATCGAAACTCTCTCTTGGACAGCTTTTCATCTGAGATGCGAGACTTTAGATTAAATTTGGCTGCCAAAAAATAAAACAAATAAAAAGTTTTTGGTTCATTATCCACTTCCTATTTTAGTTGATTTATTTCTAAATAAAGTACAAAGGAAAAAGGTAGCAGCTTACAGTTATACATAAAATTTGTTTGAAAGAAATTCTGGCAGCTTCAGTCCAAATATCTGTTTAGGTATTATTTAAGCAAGTGTAGTTCAGTTATTTCACTATTTTCATATAAGCACATATCTAACAAGGCATACAAAGTTCAACTCTTGATACCAAATTAAAAAGATCAATATGTGTGTGTGTATAAATATATATTCAAAAATTATAGCATAAGCATGTTATAACATCACTACAAAAATAGCCATTTTGTTTCAACACTTCTGGTGTCTTGTCAAGTTGATTGCAACCAACACCATCACCTGACAAGCTTATGTTATAATTTTTGAATAAATATTATTTGCACTACTTTGTATTGAACACTCTTTTAAAAATAGTAGTTTTGGTTATCGGAATTTTATTCCATCTATACCAACCCTGTATTCATATATATATATATATAAATATAAATATATTCTTAAGGTGTGCTATATTTATGGGATAAAGTACTCAATATCAGAGATAGAGCATATGTAAATATAAAAGTGAACATTGAAGTCAACACTTAGAGGCAACAGGCTGTTTCATGCTGGACGCAATCGTCAGGCCACGAGTCCTATTTACATATTATTATTATATATATATATTTATTTATATATATATATATTTATTTATTTAGAAAAATACCATGACAAATTGGGAAAAAGTTTTTTGTGACATGTTTCATCCATTAGAATTTTACCGGATGAAATGTATCACAAAAACTTTTTTCAGTTTGTCATACTATTTTCTAAATACTGCTTTGTTTTGTCGATATATAAAATTATACAAAATTATATATCGTTATATCACATATATATATATATATATATATATATATATATATATATATATATATATTGATAATATTAGTGGTAAATATACACATACATATGCAATCATATATCTAAAATATATAAAATATATACATACATACATACACATATATTTGTATAAAAAATAATTCCAAGGGGATAGAATCCAGGTAGAACTCAATGTCCAGGACAGAGTAAGGATTTATTATATATATATATATTTTAATTTAATTAGAAAACAGACAACCTTAAGGGTCCATTAATTATATTTTATTTCCCCAAGAAGGTGTTTTTTTTTCCTGGTTCCTCAGATCACATTTCAAGCATAAAAAAACATACTTTATATATACACATATATATAATTCATTGATAGAACATGAAATATATATACATCATGATTGTTATTACTAGTTTTACACCTCATTTGCATTTTATTCTAACACTCTGGGTCAATACACTCTTCATTATTACCATTATTTTATTACTAGTTTGATTCCATCTTATTATTGTTGCTTTTTATCCCAACACAGGAACCATACACCATTTATCTTTCCTTTTATTACTAGTTTTACACCATTATTTTTTTTATCCCCAACCTCTGTTACAGTAAGCAGCATGAAGTTAATCAGATTCTTATGAGAGTTAAATTCATATCTTCCACTTAATGAGAGGCAATGATCTGAAGCAATGACAGAATGCAAATGATTCAGAGTTTTCCTCGGAAAATGATTACTGAAAGAGGTTGTCAGGTGGAAATAAATCAGATTACAGAGAATGCTGACATCAAGTTGAATAAAACAAAAATATTTTAAAAAGGAAGTCTTTATTTAATTTCCTGCTGAAAATGATATGTATTAAGTTTGTGGCTTTTTATAACATATCAACCTATGCTCGGTCATTGTTCAAATCTCCGTTTAATATTATTTTTATGATATTGGCATGGCTAGTAGAATTAATGAGCCAAGCTTAATTTCCAGCCAAGGGTGTTGCATTGATTTTTCTACAAATACCCTTGGCAAAGTCATGGATTCATCTCTTCTTCCCACATAACTATGTGTTAAATAGCAAGGTAGATTAAGCCATTTAGACTTGATTGGAAGCCAGTTTAGATACAGAACACTGTGAAGAAGTTGACAGGAAAACATTTCACAATCTTTCCCAAGACAATTCACTAAATAAAAATCTGCAGAGAGTCATGACTGCCTACATCCAGAAAGGACGTGATATTAAAAAAAATCTATAGGTAAACTTGGTTTATACTAGAGCTTGTGGATAAACACTGGTCACATTTATACTTGAGTCTATGGGTAAACATTGGTTGTCTTTATACTTGAGTCTATGGGTAAACATTGGTTGTCTTTATACTTGGGTCTATGGGTAAACATTGGTTGTCTTTATACTTGAGTCTATGGGGAAATATTGGTTGTCCATACCTGAGTCTGCAAGCATCAACCCAGTCAGTGGTCCCTTTTGGGGATCCTTACCACTCTGCAGGGAATGTAGTCAGTGTAGTCTAAGCCCTACTTTCAGTTTGTTTTTTTTTAAGTTTTCAAAAAAATTTTTTAAACAAGAGAATTATTTTGTACGTTATTTACATTATTCGAACTATTGTCCTCATCTTTGTCGCCATATTTATTACGTTTCAGCTGTTGTACGCTCTGGCTTCTTCAGGTGGTGGGAATGTCGAACTGAACCCTTTATTTCACTCACTGGGGTAGACTGTTCTAGTTCCACATGTCATGTTTAACGGATGTCAGTTATCAGCTATCTACTGTTAATTTTCCCAATGGAAGTTCTCCACTGCCTTAACCGGGTATTGAACTCACACTCTTTGGGTCCTGTCATAGGGAAAATTAACAAGCGATAACTGATAACTGACATCCATTAAACATGGCACGTGGAACTAGAACAGTCTACCCCAGTGAGCGAAATAAAGAGTTCAGTTCGACATTCCCACCACCTGAAGAAGGCTGGAACGTACAATGGTCAAAACGTTGTAATAAATATGGTGACAAAGACGAGGACAGTAGTCCGAATAATGTAAATAATGTACATAATACCTCATCTCAGAAATATAGACAGATACTGAATTATTTTGTGTTGACAGATCTGTCAATATGGATGAATTTATAGATTTTACTGACAAGAACAACAAAGATTCTGATCAGTTTAAATTCGGTTTAAAATACACCAAAGTATTTTGCTTATTGGGAATATTATTAAATTTAATCTATTAGCTTTGAATTAAAACTAAAATTAAAGCTTCAAGAAAGATTTTTTCATATTTTAATCATAAGAAATAATGTCAGATCCATGAAATGTAGAGGTTTTGCAGGTATAAAGTTTTTTGGGGCTTTCTTCAGAATATATTAGCTACCATCTTTATTTTTTGAAAGATATTAATCTCTTGAATATATTTTTGCTTTTTGTCTCCGATTATTATTTGAATGTCTGACTTGGAGATAACAAGACAAGTGACATATCCACTATGCTAACGTTCTTCTACATGAGCAGCATGGTAACATTAATTTGTACAGATTAAGTAAGGCACAATGCACAGATAGAACACTGATCTGGGGTAGAAGGCAGAAACTTTGATCCTAGGCAGAGCTCTGAGATGCTATACCGATCCTGAACAGAAGTGCTCATCTGGATGCAAATAATGTCTTTTTTTTTTTTTTTTTTTTTTTTCAATAGGTTCTACATATTGATACATTTATGTTCAGTGGACACATGTCTTTAAGTTGATATTTTTTTTTTTACAGTGAAATCAATATCTACCAGCCGAGAAATCGAGAGTCCTCAATTTTTTAATAGGAATTTTGAGATATTGGTTTCACTATTAAAAAAAAAACAAAAAAAAACTGGGATATCTACTCAAACACAGGTGTACACTAAATATAACATTTATAGCAATAAGAAATAATGTCAGGTCCATAAAATGTAGAGGTTGTAGGTATAAACAAGTTTTGGGGGGCTCCCTTCAGAATATAGTAGCTACCATCTTTATTTTTTGAAAGATATTAATCTCTTGAATATATTTTTGCTTTTTTTTTCTTCTCCAATTTATTTATCCTTGAGGATCTGCCAGGTGAAAATCTGATTAAGAGCCAAGAAAAAGATCAGTTTTGAAGAAATTTTTTTTTTGCTTATTATAGCATTGTTGTAATGATTATTAACATGGCTCTGGATAAAATATTATATAAAACAAGAAAAGGCATCAAATTTCTAATTAATCAAAAAAAAATTTGAATGCTGTTGTATTGCAGTTTAGTGAAATATCACAGATTAGCTCAAACACAGGGCTAAACCCACACAAAAATAATTTTTTGATGAAAAATATTTGTAAAAAAAATAATAATATGGGCATGTTATTTTTTTTTTTAAAGATTATTGAAAAAATAGTACTAAAGCAGAAGATTAGTCAAAACAAAAATCCTTGTAATTAGCCATGTTTACATCAGGTTTCATTTGTAGCTCTTTGTTATGGTACCTACACTTTATGAATGTAAGCGCAGTACTAGACAGACGACAAGGTCTCACCAATTTACAATTGAAATGACTAAATGTAACCATAAATTCTATGCTAACAGTTTCTTTTCTTGCACTTCTGGAACCCTATTCCGGTTCCATGCTTTCCAGCCAACTTTAATCTGTAAAAATTTAAATGCAATTTCAATCATTATCTACTGTACTCCTGATTACTCTTCCTCTATTCTTGCTCTCGAGCAACTGTTCCTGTTTCTAACTCTTAACTCTTCCACAGCCAGTAACTCCTTGTGTCTCAGTGGCTTTACTACCTTGCTTGGGGTGAACTCGATTTAAAAAAAAAAAAAAATAGATCATGGCTAATAATGTATTTGTTGTGTAGGAACCTACCACCCCTCTTGAAGATGAACTCGTCTGCAAGCAGGGACGTTAACTGGTGGCATGAAAAAAGAGAGTGTTGAAGAAGTTCTGAGCTGAGTTAGTTATAGACTACTCAGGCGATATCTGTACCAACTTACCAACCGAATAAACCCCATTTTATTGTTACATGTTATTTGGCGTTTGTCTTTATTAACCCCAAATTAACATCATAACAGTATTATTGATAGAGAACTTTAAAAGTCCCTTAAAAAATTTCTCACAGAACAGCCAGGCTAATGATCACTAATAATATTAACTAAAATATTCTACATATATTTTCTTTCTAAATATTAAATAATAATATTTGTCTACAATCACAATACATTTTTTGCTAACATGTTTTTTGTGATTGTCAATGATGACCTGTCTAAGTTTCGGTTTACCATGTCAAGAAAAATTAACTCCCCCACCCTCACCCTCTGAGCTTAATTTTCTATTTAGTGCAGATCTGACTTTTAATTGGCTGATTGAGACAAACCCATGAGTCTATTTTTAATTCTGGCCTTGTGTTTTCTCACCGCACTCCTTTTATCTTTCAGAAAAGAGGTAACGCTTTGCTTTTGAAATTTTCTTAAAAATCATTTAATCACCAGTTCTTTACCATCGCTTGATGAGGCACAAAGTTGCTGAAACACAAAAGCTATTTGTTTTTATTGTAATCTCTTTCAATAAAAATAATATATTTTCTTTCTATAAGAACACCAAAAAATGTTCAATAAAAACAGTGAACACATATCAGTCACCATCACAAAATATGGCAAACGACCTTCCTGACGCCATAGATTCCCAAGTTGGCATCTACGCGGATGACACTACAATTTACTCCTGCCTCAAAAACAAATCTAGTGTCGGTGACAAAACTAACCTGGCCGCTTGTCTTGAAATGGACCTTCAATCGGTTGTTAATTGGGGCAAGAATTAGCTGGTCAACTAACACCTCAAAAACTAAACTACTCTCTATTAATCCCCATAGAGATCTTTCCCTGGCCCCCATTAGAATGTCTGATAGTCAACTTCTTGAGAGCAACTCTCTGCGTCTGCTCGGTCTCACGTTGACTGCTGACCTGAGATGGAACAAATACATTGAGTTATTTGCATCGTCCACCGTGAGGAAAGTTGGCTCTCTGTGCTGCGCCAGGAAATTTTTCTCCCCGGAATTGATACTTCAAATATACAAATCAACCATTCACCCTTGCATAGAGTATTGCTGCCATATATGGTCTGGGGCACCTTCTGTTTACCTCGGAGTTCTTGACAAGATCCAGAGACGGATATGTAATATAATTGGCCCTGATCTGGCATCTCGTCTACAGTCACTCTCTCACAGACGTGCCGTCGCCTCTCTCTGTCTTTTCTACAAATACTTTCATGGTAATTGCTCCGATGAGCTGCTTTCACTGGTTCCCAGACTCCATGAATTCAAGCGCCCTACGAGGCTGGCATCCTGCTCTAACCCTTACACTGTAGAAACTTTTAAATGTAGCAGTCTCTTCTACTCGAATAGCTTCATACCTCGCACCTCTCACCTGTGGAACACCCTTCCCAATTACTGTTTCCCTGAGAGCTATAATCTCAACTATTTAAATGTAATGTCAATTGACATCTCCAGTAACCTTGATCTATCCACTATCCCTCTCTTCATCCTCCCTTCTATCACTCCTATCTGCTCTCGCTCCAAATCTTCTGCAACCCCCTGCATCCTAGTGGCTTCACACCTTGCTCAGGGCGTAATGCTTAAAAAAAAAAAAAAAATGTAGGAAAATCAGCCAGTATGGATAGATATCCATTAATTGGATTAATAAATAAATAATGACATAACCTCAGAGGATTATTTTCAGCATTATGGTTTAAACAATAGCAAATGTTTAAAAGACTTTAACCATGAACCTTTTTGGCATTTTCATGTTAAATGTGTAAAACCTTTAGTCTGTCCCCTAATCGCCGGACAAATCCTCAAAAATGATTTATATTGAAAAATATTGCATAAAACATTGTTAGTGGCATCATTTCTTTAAAAAACAAAATCAAAAAACAGATAGCCAGTAGATTTCATGACATGTCCCTGTTGCAGTCATGTTTAGAATATTTTTAGGATCTACAGCAACTAAAACTGCCTCTTTCTGAAATTCATGTACAACCATCATAACACTGAAGCTTAACCCTTACTTACCTTTCTTGATAGCATCTATTTCACTCCCACCTTTATAGGTGGACATGACCGATTCCACGTGGTTCAGTTCCAAATAACCGGAACCCTCATTGTCCCATTTGTCAAAGAGAGTGTCAGTCATTTGTTTGCATTTTGCTGATTCCATCTCTAGGCGTGCCTACAAAGAAAAAAAAATTAGAATTGTAAGAATTCTTGGATTGCAAATGAAAATATTTGTTGTAGATTACTTCCCCAATGAAGAGAACAAATCACTAAGTTTGGACTCGAAGATCAAGGGCAGAAAGAAAATGTCAAAATCTCAATTTACAGGTACTGTGTCACAAATCACAATGTACGTAACCAGTCAGAAAAAATAACTCACTCACCAAAAACGACCACGGTAGCTAAATACACAAATTTTGTCTTTTTTCCTCCCCAATTCAAGAACACCAACTGCTTTTATCAACCGAGCATTTTTTTTCATTTGTCGACAACTGGGAGAGGACACACAATATTAGCATATCAAAATACTGTTATGGTGACTCTTGTGACTGACTTGTTTCTAATTTGAATATTCTGTCTTCAGCACATCATGCAGAATATGTGCCCTTTTTTCAGCAAATAACTTTCTTTTTTTTACATTTTCTGTCGTAGGATACACACAACATGCTGTGACTTGATCTGACGAGGTAATTCAACGTTTTCTTCACTATATTAATATATATATATATATGTGTGTATGTGTGAATAAAAGCAAATAAAAAACTTATCTTAGCTGACGTTCTGATGGATTTATTCAAGGTAAAATTTAAGGATTTTATTTTGCAACAAGTATTTATACACTGAAGTAAAAATGTTGTTAGAATTTTTAAAATGAAAAACACTGATAAATATTCAACAGGCTTAACTGAAATTCAAAGTAAATTATAAAGGATGTAATTTAATGTCCAGTACACAAAAGTGAGTGTTATTGGTGAATTTTTATATTGTAAGTACCTGAAGATTGTACTGAACATGAAACTCTTGAGTCGTACTTTCAATATAAGGTAATATGTATATTTATTTATATATACTTTATAGTTCTGCATTACCACATTGAGCACTGTTTTGTTAATACCCAAAATTAAATTAAATATTTATTTGCAAATTTATATATGCACATGATCGCACGTATGTATGGTTGCTTACATCTTTATTTATTTAATTCATTCTTATATATATATATATATATATATATATATATATATAATTAATTAGAGATAAAAATAAGTAAGCAGCTTCCAAAAGTATCAGCTTAAGATTCCATGCTGGAAATAGTGGAGCAGATAACAGCAAATTTTCAGAAGAATCTTTCATTTCTGGAAAAAAGCAGCAAAATTGGCACACATACTCCTTGGGGATTGTTCTTTTGATAAAACCCGTTAGCTACCTAAAAATTCAAGATGGTGGCCATTTTTCAGGATGGATGCCATTGACTATACTGAAATACTGCATTTCGCAATAAGATTGCAGACTTGCCCTATTTGAATAATTTTGGTGTCAAATTATACATTTTTCACTAAGTAGAATCTGAATTTGGAACTATGGACTTACTTACTAGCTTCCTTGTACCAACAGAGTAGATGTCAAAGCACAACCAGGGCACACTGGATGATACTACTTCTGTGAAACTCAGCATGGGGGTTCAGTATCAGTTGAATAATTATTTAGTGTACCAAATGCTGTCTAATAAGCCCTGCATCTACTGTAGACTACATGTAGTTTAACAAAGATGTTTAATTAGCTGTGCTTGAATTTGACAGGGTGTGCCAATGTGGGAGAGCTGAGACAAGGGTAACGAGGCTTTATATTGCTTTACATGTAAGTACCTGGATGGTGTACAGATCGCAAGGCACTTAAATGATACTGGATGAGCCAACGGGCTAGGTTAAGTTATACATCTTTATTCTCAAACTTAGTCATAGCCTATACCTTATTATGCATTATTGTGATCAAGGTGCTAAAAGAATAAACCCTTGGCCTTGATTTACTGAATACAGATAATTATCATACTGCGATACCTTGAATACTATTCATCAAAATAATAAATACAGATCCTGGGCTGTCTAAATTACAGACCAACTAGAGCAAGTGTTGTCTTTGCCAGAAGAAGAAGAGTGAAGAGTTCAAGTCATCACATGCAAAAGAAGAACATGACAGTTGCACAGTGATTGCAACTAATATTCCCCTCTTTCACACAATTAATGAGATGCTTATTGTTCTGGATCCAGCTAGACTTGATGATGGTGATGGCATTAAAGAAACTCTGAGGAAGAACAAGGCACAGTGTCACCAAAGTTGTTGCTTTATGGTTTGGTTTGGTTTGGTTTGATTTATTTTATGGCATATCAACCTCAATAGGTTATTTAATGCCAACAAGATTTTTATTGCTAGTAATATTTTTTTTCAAAAAGTATTTTTGATAATATTTTTTCCAAAAAAGTATTGTTGGTTAATATTTTTTTTCAAAAATGTATTGCTGGTAATTTTTTTTACAAAGTATTTCTGGTATTAAAACCTATTTTTACACTTTCATAGTATTTTGACCCCAGTTTGGGGGTTAACTATTTACCCATAGCTGGGATCCTAACAGATGCTACCACTCCAGGTCAGGGTGGACCTGGGAACACCAGCAATTAAGAGGTGGTTCCACACTCCTAAAAACCTCTTGATCAGAGGCCTTTCTGTTGGATGTAGTTGTTTTACCCAGGACACTTCCATTTTAGTGGAGGTACCTATGTATGTCCATAATGCTGCAACATAAGTGTTAAGTAAAAATGGAAAGGAATGAAAATATCAGAAGTATGACAGTAGTTGGACTTTGTAACAAAAATTGCCCAGTATTTTCTGACTTTGGTACCATGAAAAAATCCTTATAATAATATTAAGCATGAAGGATAAACATGTTGGTTAAGTGAATCTAGTTACCTGGTGATCATGAGTTCAATACCTGAGACAAGTAGTAGAAAGAAACAAGAGACATTACAAGGATAAAGTAATAAAGAAACATTGTTTCAACAAAATATCCACTAGTATGGACAGTGAAATGAGAACAATCTATCCTCATGAATTGAATAAAGTATTAATTTTGAAATTCCCAGAAAGATACCAACTTCAAAAGATGCTGGAAGAAGGCCAGAAAGTACCACAAGCAAAATACTATAACTATAATAACCAAGATAAGGATATTAGTCAGAGAAAATGAATGTATATAATAATAATAATAATAATAATATTTCAAAAATTCAATCAATAATTTTACTAACTCCATGTAATATAACTGGTTGCAACAGCTTGTGCTTACTACCCTCAACCCCACCTTGACCGGGGGCGGGGGTGCCTGATTGAGTTTTAACAAGCAATTAAGAGGTGGTTCCATGCTCATCAAAACCTCTTGATCAGAGGTATTGCTGTTGGATATAGTTTATCGTCTTACCCAGGACGGCAGTAATTTTAAAATAAGCTTTTACCATATGTAAGTATCTATTTCTGATGTTGTCTCCATATATTTCAGGATGCTGAGATTCACGGTGGAGGGAAGAAGATCAGTGCTTACATTGCACTCTTGGTGACCAATCACAAGGATCCCAAAGAACATGGAGAAAACTTTCTCCATTACATGGCTGCTACTCCGGATCATGCAGAGTTTGTGAAAGGCAAGATACTCTACAGAGACATGAAAGGTGTGAGGTAGGTATTTAAATAGGATCCGAGTGTAATTCAAATGTGCAGATGATGTAACGTTTGGCAGCTTGGAATTCTGATTCCTAGCCATTATCTATTATACCATCCACACATCCAAACTAGTATTCTCAAGTGGTCACCCATCTAAGTACAAACAAGGTTTGATGTTGCTTAACTCTGGTGATCATATGAAAACCAGTGTGATGTGGATGTAAGGCTCCCTTGTTTTATATTATTGTTACTTTTCTACTATATTTTTTTATTCCTTCCTTCACGGTAATTAACATTCAATCAATAATTTTACAGACTCCGTGTAATATAACTGGTTGCAACAGCTTGTGTTTACTACCCCTGACCCCATCTTGACCAGGGGGTGCCTGACTGGGGTTCCCAGTTAGTGCTTTGTGACTCTTGCTATCTTATCGACATTCGCTATTTTCTACCTACACTTGTATATAATACAAATTAAACTAAGCACAAATGACGTAAAATTTTTTTATGGATTTTGACATCCTCCTACGTTCTTTCTTTTTGTTTTTGTCCAAATCTGTGAATCTGTTTTTGCTCAAATTAGATCTAGAAAAACACCATGCAAAATTCACTACTTTTTTTTTGTTATCTATAACGTTGAATGTATTAAAATTATTCAACTTTTTAACAAGAAAAATCTCAAGTTGATGTTAAAAATTGCCACAAAATATTGCTTTAAGATGGAATGATCTATTATGACATGTCTCTAATTTCTATTTAGATACATTGTATTTATTTTCAATATTCTAGTTGAATTGTTCACCTATATTGCTTATGATCCATTATTGTACATAATTAGGTTACAATAAAATATGTGTTTTATATGAATACCACCTTATGAAAATTGAGATGTAGTAAAGTCGGGGGGGGGGCATATCATAGATTCAGTGAGGGCCCACAAGACCCATCACCAGTCCTTGGTTCTAATACAGATTCTTGCTGTAGCAAAAGATAAGAACTTTACCTTGCTTATTGGTAAATGTAGACTCATGCCTTCTAATGTAATTATTAATATTATTATTAACAGTAAAAAAAAAAATAGTCTTGAGTTGATAGGGGAGGGATACAATTCCTGATGAGCTTGTATGAATGGATGATGGAACAGAGAGGAGAGGAGCCTTAGCAAATGGGGAAAATCTACTAAAGGACAAAGAAGATAGAAAGCTGTGGAGAGAAACGATCAGCTATGAACGCAGCACATAGATGAAGAAGAAGATATGAAGACAGTTTTCTAAAATTCATTTTCACAATAAAATCGCAACAAATTCTCACAATGAAATCAATCACAACAAACACTTGCAACAAACTCTCACAACAAAATCAATCATAATGGACTCTTGCAACAAAATCACTTGCAATGAAATCTTGTAACAAAATCTCTCACAATAT